AGTCTACACGGGTTGGATTTAGTCAGATCCATCTGCCAGCGCCTAGATCACTGAGAGAAGTGACAAACCCCTGGCATCCTCCATAGGGCAAAGGAGAGCCTATAGATGTTTTCTTGTGTAGGAGAGGTTAAACCCAGATCAGACCACTGCTGACCCGAGACGCTTTCCTGCCCAAAGTCCAAAGTCCAGACACGGTTGGCAATGCACCCTGGCAGAGTACTGCAGGCCATTTTCTGACAGGAATGCAGGAGGCGGCAGGTTTCCTTGGGCCAGCTGGGTCCCCCGGGGTACGACGCCTTAAGGGCTTGTGTGGGGTGCAGATGGCTCTAGTGGAGGAGAGGGCTGGGGTTGGCCCCGGACCCTGGGTCGAGGGGGCGCGCCGCGCTCACGCCGGGCTGCGCCAAAAGCCTCTGAGAGAAGTTGCCGCCACAGCAACTGAAGCCAGAGCCTTGCCACAGCCCTGGTCTTCAGGCCTGTGCGGCCCCGCACCCCAGCGCAGAGCCTGAGATCGAATCCCAGATCCCTTGACTTCCAAGGCCCTTGGCTTCCCCAGGTAGAGCGCCGGTCCCTTTAAGAGCTAACTACCAGGACACGTCTACCAACATCGCGCGAGGAAGAAGGCGAAGTTTACTGCGGTCGGCGCCTCCCCGCCTCTCCGCCGCAGCCTGGCCGAAACCAAACTGAGGGGTGGGTGGCATGTCGAGGAGGCGCCGTGGGCTGGAGTGGGAGGGGCTTGAACTTGCTCTGTTTCAGAATGCACGGCTTAGCGAAGGGGACCAGGCTCCCCCCGCAGGCAGCGTGAGCGCAAGAGGCCTGTGGGATCCCGTGCCCGCGGCTCCCCCCGCAGCCGGCTCGCAGTGGTCTGCTCCGTCGCCGGGTGCAGGTTCGGGTTCCGTAACGAACGCCGAGTGTCCGCCGCCTCTTTTGGCGTGGCTGGGCAGGCCGTCGTTGCGGCAGCAACAGCCAAAGCAACGCTGGCGTGATGGAGGGGCCCAGGGCTGCCCCTCAGTGGTACTGGAGGCTGGTCCTAGAAGAAGTACGCAGGGTGAGTGGGCGCGATCGTGGTTACGTGGCCCTGGCATAGCGGGGCCGCCGGGGAGCGCAGCCCCTGACTTTGGCGTTGGGGTTGGCGCCTCGCTTGTCAAGGATTCTGAAGCCAGATCTATCCTGCCTCCGGCGGTAGTCGGGTCAGGGGGCTTGGAAGGGTTTTGTATAGTAGCAGGGGACCTGGAGATCAGGAAGGTGACGAACGCATTCGCCCTGCTGGACTTTGCAAAGGGGTAGTTACCGTTAACCCCTACTCCCCAAATGAATTAGCTGTTCTGTTTTGTTATTTGTTTTGAATAGGGATTACTGACACGTGATTCTTCCGACTGTGAGAACGTTGGGGAGCGATCCTCTGAAATGAGTTTTATATTTAGTGATGAAACTTCTCGTTGTCTTGTGCGGGAGTTGGGATTCTGATTCTGCGGTCTTTCAATATAGAATGCCCGTTTGAGGTGCTTTGCCATAAAGCTAGATTGTTCTTTGCTTGTCTGTGTCTTAACGTAAAAGGTCTAAGCATAGTAAATTCTCAGTTAAAATTTACTTTTTTTCAGGTTCACTTTGTAATCAGGTTTTTCTCCTTAAGTGTCCGTAAGTGTTTTTGTTGTCATGTTTAGGAGCATTTATGTCGCTCTGTTTCAAAAAAACTGCATTACGTTTTTAAAAAGACTTTAATATATATATATATATATATATATATATATATATATATATATTAGTTGTAGTTGGACACAATACCTTTATTTTTATGTGATGCTGAGGATCGAACCTAGGGCCTCACATGTGCTAGGCAAGCGCTCAACCCTGAGCCACAACCCCAGCCCCTTAAAAAAGACTTTTTAAAATCTTGAGGCAATTATGATTGTTTTCTTCCTATGTGAATTAAAAGTATTGTTGCCATGCTTTTCGTTCATTTATTCAACCTTAGTGTATTTAGCATACACTCATGAATGACAAGGTCAGCTGTATGGAGGTTCTAAATGGACTAATACATACTTCTGGTCCTTAGCAACATGCTGTCTGTTAAAGGAGAGAAGACAAAAAAATTAGTCCAAAGTAGAAACTGATGAAGTGCTTACTGAAGCGTACATGCAAAGTGAGGGGTGGGAAAGATAACATTTTCTTAATTGGTTAGTAAAGTCTTTCCAGGCTGTGCAGATAGTTAAAGTAGAGGAGGCATAAAACAGCCAGGTGTGTGCAGAGAAGTAGGACCTGTATTACTTAGAGTATAAAGTGGACTCAGGGCATGATGTGCAATGATGCTTACTGGAAATAAGTAGGTTCCAAGTGCTACTGTAAGGTGCTGGAGAGCTGTTGAGGGCTTCCTGATAGTAGCATGTAGGTTAGATGTCAGTGAAACAAAACTCAAAACAGGCTTTAAGGGAGAAGTGACAATGGTAGGGATAAGAGAACAGGGTACTGAATGGGGAGATATTTAGAAGCTAACAGTTAAAATGGTTATGGACTATATGGTTACTGATTAGATTTGATTAGATGGAAAGAGAGAAGAAACCTAAAATGACTCCTAGGTTTTTGGCTATGGCAGTTTAACTCATTTACTAAGATGGGGTTTATAAGGAAGTTGTGGAGGAGAGATAATTTCAGATTGTACATATTTCTCTTTCTTCATTAAGAACAACAATAATCAATACTTTTTTTTTTTTTTTAAACAAGACTCCAATGGAGAGAGACATGGAGAGAGGCTGTCAGGTTCTGCAGGATTTTCTTCTCTGATGATCATCTTTTTTTTTCCCCCCAGGGATTGAACTCAGTGGTACTTAACCAGTGAGCCACATCCCTAGCCCTTTTTATGTTTTATTTTGAGACAGGGTCTTGCTAAGTTGCTCAGTGCCTCCCTAATTTGCAGAGGCTGGCTTTGAACTCAAAATCCTCCTGCCTCAGCTTCCCAAGTCACTGGGATTACAGGTGTGTGCCACCACACTCGACCATCCATATGATTTTTTTTTTTTTTTTTTTTTTTGCTAAATGACACAACTCTTACCACACTGGCCTGGGTGTTAGGAAGTCACAACATTGCTTTGATTTTAATTTTCTTTCTAGTTTTTTTAAAGCATTATTTTTTAGGAAGTGGGAGGTACTGGGGATTTAACCCAGGGACAATTTACCATTGAGCTACATCCTTTTTATTTTTTATCTTGAGACAGAGTCTCACTAAGTTGCTTAGAGTCTTGCTAAATCACTGAGGCTGGCTTGAACTTGTGATCCTCTTGCCTCAGCTTCCTAAGTTGATGGGATTATAGACATGTGCATGGCACATTTGACTTTGAGCAACTGTTAAACTGTATTCCACAGAGGCTACATCTTTTTACATCCCCATGAGCAGTTTGAGTTCCAATTTTCTGTACTCTTAACATTTTTATGTGTGTGTGTTTAAATAGCTACTCTGGGGAGTGTACAGTGGTATCTTGTGGCTTTGATTTGCATTCCCTAATAAATAATGACATTGAACATCTTTACATGTGCTTATTGGCTATTTGTATATATTTTCTTTGGAGAAATATCTATCTTTAGTCTAAACAAATGATTTGTGTTTTTATTAAGTCATAAGAGTTCTTTTTTAAATTTTTTTTTATTTTTAAAATTCTTTTTTAGTCATACATGACAGCAGAATGTATTTTGACATATAATACATACATGAAAGAGTTCTTTATTTATTTAGGTACTAGTCCCTTCTCAGATACATGATTTGCAAATATTTTCTCTTATTTTGTGTATTGTCTTTTCTTGATGGTATTCTTTGAAGCACTAAAATTTTAAATTTTGATTAAGTTCAACTTGTTTATTTTTTCTTTGATTGCTTGTGTTTTGGTGTCATATCTAAGAAACCATTGCTTAAAACAAGTCACAAAGATTAACACCTATGCTTCCTTCGAAGAGTTTTAGCTTTCACATTAAGATCTTTGATCCATTTTGAATTAATTTTTATGTATAAAGTCTGAGTCCAGATTCATTCCTTGGCGTTTGAATATTGATTTATCCTAGTATGATTAGTTGAAAGGACTGTTCTTTCCACATTGATTTGTTTTGATATTGCTGTTGAAAATAATTGGCTGTGAATTTAAGGGTTTATTTCTGTACTCTAATTTCTGTTCCTTTGGTCTATGTATTACATAGTTATGTTATTATATTGTCTTTTAAAATTTTTCTGACATCATCTTAATATAGTTTTGTAATACATTTTTGGAGTAGGGAAGTATGAGTCTGCCAATATTATTTTTCTTTATCAGTATTATTTTGGATGTTTGGGGTTTCTTGCATTGCTAAATGAATTTTATGATCAGCTGGTCCATTTCTGCAAAAAAGAGGATGTTGGAGTTTACATAGGGATTGCTTTGAATCTGTAAATCACTTTGGGAAGTATTGCTGTCTTTGACATAAAGTCTTCCAGTCCACAGACAAAGGGTATTTTTCCATTATTTAGATCTCAGTTTCTTTCAACAATGCTTTGTAGTTTTCAATGTGAGCTTCTTTTGTTGAATTTAGTCCTAATATCTTATTTTTTTGGATGCTACTGAAAATAAAGTGCTTTTTTAAACTTGCATGTTCAGTTTGTGGAATCCAGCGTATTCACCAGGTAAAACCTAAGCTGGATGAAATGAGGGAAGGAACATCTGAATCTGAGTCATTCAACTTCTTTCTTTGCCTTTCCAGCTGCTATTTCTCATCCTTGAAAGGTCTGAGGCATTTCTGTTGCCCTCCAGTTTGAAAATCTTTGCATCTCACTGTGATGCTTTTCTTCATCACTTGGGTGATAATGGTTGAAAGTTGCCAGAAAAATGTTTTTGGATATCTTCTGTTTGGTGTTACTCTGGGAGCCCATTTTGTGAAAAGGATATTAATAGAGTTGAACACATGCATTTGAACCTATATTTGTAATCAATAATTATTGTCAAAAATGCAGGTTTATGGACTTAATTTTTTTTTTTTTCTTGAAGGTTGTGGAAGCATTGCCTGAAGATATGAGACCAGGCCCTAATCCTTATGGCCTTCCGTGGGAGTTGGTGATTTGTGCAGCTATTGGATTTTTAGCTATTTTCTTGTTTTTGTGGAGAAGTTTTAAATCTGTAAGTAAGCAGTATATACTAAGAGAAAATGTTCATTCTGACTAGAGTCTGAACAAGTAGTATGAGAAACATTTGTTTTTTTAAGGAAACAGGCTGTAGTTTGGTGGTAACACATGTTAATGTGTGGCTAACAGAAACTATGTATTCAGAGGAACTTTTTTTTGTATAAATATTTTATTTTGTTTATTTAAAAAAAAATTATTTTTTTAGTTGTAGGTGGACACAATGCCTTTATTTTATCTTTATTTGGTGCTGAGGATCAAACCCAGTGCCTCACACATGCTAGGCAAGTGCTCTACCTCTGAGCCACAACCCCAGCCTCATGTATAAAAATTTTAAAGAATTTCTTTATAGAAGTATTATACACTAATATTAAACCCCTACCTTTATTTATTTATTCTTTTTCTCTCCCCTCCTTCTCCAACATCTGTGAATGTATCACTTAACTTGGAATAAAAAACATTGTCGGGCTGGGTATGTGGCTCAAGCAGTAGCGTGCTTGCTTGGCATGCGTGCGGCCCGGGGTTCGATCCTCAACACCACATACAAACAAAGATGTTGTGTCCGCTGAAAACTGAAAAATAAATATTAAAATTTCTCTCTCTCTCTCTCTCTTAAAAAAACAAAAACAAAAACAAAAACAAAACATTGTCACTTACATTTAGGTAATCCTCCCTCATTTCACTCCCCGCCTTTAAAAATTTTGGGGACATCATATTATATCCTTTAAAAGTATAGATTATAATTTTACTTGATATCATGCCATATGTCATCTTTTGAGCTTTGTTTTTGACCTTATGTTGTTAAGATACATCCATATTTTGAATGTTAAGATTCATCATACCATGCTGCATGCAGTGGTGCATGCCTATATTCCCAGCAACTCCGGAGTCTGAGGCAGGAGGATTGAAGTTCAAGGCCAGCCTCAGCAACTTAGTGAGACCCTGTCTCAAAATACAAAGGGCTGGGGATGTAGCTCAGTGGTAAGTGCTCCTGGTTTCCATCCCCAGTACCAAAAAAAAAAAAAAAAAAAAAAAAAATTCACTATTATTTACTATTTCTGTAGAATATCACATTATAAAAAATATATTATAGTTTTGGGCTGGGGTTGTGGCTTAACGGTAGAGCGCTTGCCTAGCATGTGTGAGGCCCTGGGTGAGGCCCTGGGTTCGACCCTCAGCACCACATAAAAATAAAAAAAGGTATTGTGTACAACTACAACTAAAAAATAAATTAAAAAAAAAAAAAAAAATATATATATATATATATATATATATATATATATATATATATGTATATATTATAGTTTTATCTGTAGTTTTATGGCCCTGGACATTTGGGTTATTTCCCAGGCTTTTTCTATTATAAACAGTACTGCTGTGTTTATTATTGTTATTATTATTATTTTTTTTTTTGAAAGAGAGAATTTTAATATTTATTTTTTAGTTATCGGCGGGCACAACATCTTTGTATGTGGTGCTGAGAATCGAACCCGGGCCGCACGCATGCTAGGCGAGCGCGCTACCACTTGAGACACATCCCCAGCCCCGTGTGTTTATTATTAATTCACATCTCTTGTTGTATATTTGTAAGAGTTTTCTTGGGAATATATGTAAGTATGAGATTATTAGATTATAAAGCATATGGAAATTTTACTTTTAAAAGGTAATGTCAATTCTTTTCTATATTATCTGTATTGCTTTGTACTTCTCCCAGCGCTATATAAGAAACCCTACAGATCCATTTGATCCATGTTCTCTCCAACACTTACTGTTGTAGTTCTTGATTTTTATCATTTGAGTGGCTATAAAATGGATCTTATCATGGCCTTGATTTGAATTTCCTCACTATCTCTCCCAGTACATTTATTAGCCGTATATATTTGTTGTTCTTGAAAATCTTTGTCTTTTGCCAAGATTTTTTTGAGTAGTTTGTTTTTTCCTGTTTCATTATATAGTCGTCTTCTTTTTTTTTTTAAGTTTGTTTTTGGTTATTTACTCACATGTGCCTGTAACAAAGCAGGAATCACTGTTGTGTATCTTTATTTACTTATTTGTGGTGCTAGGGATTGAACCTAGGGCTTCTTGCATGTCAGGCAGACACCCTACTACTGAGCCACGTCCACAGCCTTCATTATATATTTTTGTTGCTATCTTTATTATGTGTATTGCAAATGTCCCAGTATGAAATATCTTTTCCTTTTCTTTTAATTTTTTTATGATATACAGAAATTCTCACTTTTAAAGTTTTGCTTTTAACACTGAAATCCTTGATCTATCTTTTTTTTGTTTGTTTGGGGGGTACTGGGGATTGAACTCAGGGGCACTTGGCCACTGAGCCAAATCCCTAGCCCTATTTTGTGATTTTTACTTAGGATCTCACTGAATTGCTTTGCACCTTGCTTTTGCTGAGGCTGAGGCTGAGGCTAGCTTTGAACTTGAAATCCTCCTGCCTCAGTGTTCTGAGCTACTAGGATTACAGGCATACGCCACTGCGCCTGGCCCTTGATCTGTCTTGAGTTAATTTTTTAGGTTAGGGATTCCGTATGTCTGGTTCCACATATTAAAATTCATGTATATGAGAATCTTTAATGCATTCTATTCCATTGAATATTGTTGAAAGTAGATGCATGTACATCATTGTTTCCACACATTAGATTACGAATGTTAATTGATTGATTGTATTGTTCATGAATTACATTTTTTTGTTTTTCTTTGTTTCCTACATTAATCAAAAATGAAGAAAAGTGTACTGTATTCCATTGTTATGATGGATTTATCACGTTCTGTTTTTCTGTTCATTCTTGTTTTGCATATTTTGAGGATATTTTGTTAGGTGTATACATGTTTAGAATTACTGTATCTTCTTGGTAAATTGAAACCTGGCAGTATCTAGTGACCTTCTATCACTCTAATGATACTTTTAAGACCTCTTATATACAATGTTAAGAGAGCCATACTAACTTTGAGTGATACTTGATGTCTTTTCTCATCCTCATATTTTTCAGCCTTTCCATGGTCTCTATTTAATGTGTATTTTGTATATATATATTAATATCTAATCTGGCAATCCTCTTTTTCACTGTTGAGTGTAGTCTATGTACACATATTATGATTATCGATTATGGATGCATTTGGAGTTTCTTCCATTTTAATTTATTAATGTGTTCTACTTTTTGTATGTTTCTTTTAAATTCTTTTCACTTTGATAAGTAGATCTTTCTGCCTGGAAGACAAGAACCTCAGCACATTCTTGTATCCAGGGTGTCCTTTTTTACTTTCCAATCTTTATCATGTTGATATAATCTATGTTTTTATCCTGGATTTATAAGCAGTATCTCTCTCTCTCTCTCTCTCTCTCTCTCTCTCTCTCTCTCTCTCTCTCTCTCTCCCCATTTTTTGTTTTCAACTTTTTATTCACCTCTTTTCCATGATTAAGAAAATGACAAATATTATAGTATATGATTACTGTTAATTGACATATTTTTTGCTGGGTCTTCTAGAAATAATTTTTGTCATCTTTGAACACTTCTTTCAAGATGTGTTTTAATGTCTTTCTTTTTTTTTTTCTGGTACTGGGGATTTAACCCAGGGGCAATTTACTACTGAGCTACATCCCCAGCCCTTTCTATTTATTATTTGGGACAGTAGCTCACTAAGTTACTTAGGGCCTCACTAAGTTGCTGAGGCTGGTTTTGAACTCTCAATTCTTCTGCCTCAGCCTCTCAAGCTGCTGGGATTATAGGGCAGGCACCATTGTGCCCGGCCTGACTTCATATTTCTTAACTTCCAGTTTTCTATTTTTTTATGGGATTCTGTTACTTTTTTTTAAATTGTAGGTGGACAGAATACCTTTTTATTTATTTATTTATTCTTTATGTGGTACTGAGGATTAAACCCAGTGCTTCACATGTGTTAGGTGAGCACTCCATCACTGAGCTATAACCCCAGTCTTGGGATTTGGTTACCTTTTGAGAAGGTTCTTCAATCTGATGTTTCATTCCCTAATTTCTTCATCTGTATACATTCTGCCAAACCTTGTCTTTTAAATTGGCTCTTTTCATTTTATGTCTATACATGTTCTGTAGGTGACCTAAGTTCCTTTTTGTCTTTTCTACTTGGTTATGTTATCTCAGCCCTAAGAGTGCTGCTTTCTCATTATTCAAGAGAGAAAAAGCTTTTTCCAAAAAGGAAAAAAAAAAAATTGGTTTGTGGTTTCTTTAATTAGGGAGACTTTAATATGTAGCATTTTTTTTTTTTTTCCATTGGAAGTAGAACTCTTTTGGCTAACTCATGTTTATAGTAAGGCAAGAAAACTGTTATTTTTAAGTTGGGAGTAGAAATTAAATAAATTAGATTTACTTGAAAGTATGCTTGTTTTAATGTGATTTTTGTTAAAAATTTGTTTCAGGTTAGAAGCCGGCTTTACATGGGTAAGCTAATTTTTCTATTTTAGATCCCATCATTTGTTGAGTATAATTTAAAAACTTATAATAAATAATTCATTCATAATAATATTGACCTTTATTTTTTTGTTTTTTTTTAAAGGAAGAGAAAAAAAGCTTGCTCTAAAACTTTCTGGACTAATTAAAGAAAAATGTGAACTACTTGAAAAAATTAGCCTTGTTCAAAAAGAGGTAAGACAGTTTTTGAAAATAACATTTATGCTAGAGTCATAGTACTGGCTTTCTTTTTTGATACTGGGGACTGAACTTAGGGGTGCTTTACTATTGAACCACATCCTTAGTCCTTTTTATTTTGAGACAGGTTCTTGATAATTTGCTGGCTTTGAACTTGCAATCCTCCTGCTTCAGCCTGCTAAATCACTGGGATTATAGGCATGTGCCACTCATGGAACTTTCTGTTTTTCAATGTATCTACTTCTATGTAAATTTAAGATTAGTAATGCTCTATTTGCAAAGTATGAGAGTTCTGTTGTTCCTCAACTTTAGTGCTTAACCCATCATATTAATTTTGGCCATTATATTAGGTGTATAGTGTTTTCTTACTGTTGATTGAATTTGTATTTCTCTGCCTAATGAGAGTGAGTGCATTTTTATATATTTTTTTGGCCATTTTGATATTCTTTTTGTGAATTTGTCTTTTCAGGTCTTTTTCATGTTTTTTAAAGGTATTATTGTCTTTATCCTTCTTTTTATGTAGGAGTTTTTCTATATCTCAGATACAAGTTCTTTGTTAGATATGTGAACTGCAAATATCTTCTTCCACTCTGGCTTACCTTATTTCAAATGTGCCTTGGAAAGCAGAAATTCTTAATTAGTATAAACTAATTTGTCAGTTATTTATTTATGATAACTGCGTTTTGTTTCCTGATGAAAGAAATTTTTGTCTACCTAAGGGTATAAAGATACTTTTTTGGTGTTATCTTTTAGAAACTTAATGGTTTTTCTTTTTCTTTTTTTTTTTGTCTTTGTATTAGTTTGTTAGGGCTACTGTCATAAAATATCACAGACTTAGGGGCTTACATAGCAGAAATTTATTTTCTCACAGATCTGGAGACAGGAGTCCAAGTTTAAGGTATTGACTCATTTGATGTCTTTTGTGACCTCTCCCTGGCTTGTAGATGACTGCCTTCTTGCTGTATCTTTATGTGGAATGGGCATACACGTATTTCTGGCATCTCTGCATCCAATGGTCTTTTCTTATAAGGACACCATTTGTATTGGATGAGGACCCATTCCAACAGCTTCATTTTAACTTAATCACAATTTTAAAGGCTCTGTCTCCAAATGAAGTTATATTCAAAGTACTGTGGATTCGAGTTTCAACATAGGAATTTGTGGAGGACATAATTCAGCCCATAACAGTTTTTGTTTTTTGGGGATACTGTGGATTGAACTCAGGGGTACTTGACCACTGAGTTACATCCCCAGCCCCATTTTGTATTTTATTTAGAGACAGGGTCTCCCCTAGTTGCTTCGCGCCTTGCTGTTGCTGAGGCTGGCTTTGAACTGGTAATCCTCTTGCCACATCGCCTGAGCCACTGGGATTATAGGTGTGCATCACCACAGCCAGCCTATAACAGTTTTTAATCCATCTGGAATTGAATCCATGATGATGTAATTGGAAGAATATGTCAATAGTAAATTTTTATATATATATATATATATATATATTACAGTAATTATTGACATTTATTTATTTGATTTTTAAAATATTTTTTAGCTGTAAATAGATCTTTTATTTATTTATTTATTTATTTATTTATTTATTTATTTATATGTGGTACTGAGGATCGAACCCAAGGCCTCACACATGCCAGGCAAGTGCTCTACCACTGAGCCACAACTCTAGCCATAATTATTAACATTTATTGAAAAGACTTTTTTCTGTTGTTTTATAATGTCATCTTAAATCAAGTGACTGAATATTTGTGAGATTGTTTCTATAATACCTTATTTTCTGTTGATCTTTTTAAAAACTTTTATACCAATACTATACTTTTTTGATTACTATAATTTTATAGTCAGCCTTGTTATCAGACAAGGTAAACCTACAAGTTTGTTGTTCTTCAGAATTGTCTTGGCTCTCATGACAGTCTTTCTATATACATTTAAAATCATTCATGTGCGCGTACACACACACACACACACACATATGCATGCACACAGCCTGCTAAGAGTTTGGATTCTGTTGGGTGTATAGATAAATTTTTAGAAAGAATTGACATTTTTATAATGTTGAGTTCTTATCCCTGGTGGTACATTCTTCTATTTATTATGTCTTTTAAAATTCTCTCAACTGGTGTGGTGGCACATACCCAATTCCAACAGCTTGAGAGGATGAGGCAGGAGGATTGCAAGTTTGAGGTTAGCCTTAGTAATAGGAATTAGGAAGGCCCTAAGCAACTTAGCAAGACCCTGTCACAAAATACAAGATAAAAAGGTCTGGGGATATAGCTCAGTGATAAAACACCCCTGGGTTCAATTCCCAGTACCCCCACCCCCAAAAAAATTGTTTTACAAATTTTTGATTTATGGTCTTGAACATCTTTTCTTATATTTATTCCCAGGTATTCTTTTTTTTTTTTTTAAACAGCTTTATTGGGGTACAATTACATAACATAAAATTCACCCATTTAAAGAATATAAATGAATGGCTTTTAGTATATTCACAGAGTTGTGCATTCATCATAGCAATCAACTTTCAAACATTTTTATTACCCCAAAAAGAGACTATGAGCCCTTTAGTTATCACTCTTCACCCAGTCTGTCCCATGCCAAAGTCATGGATAATTTCTATTTCTATAGATTGGCCTATTCTGGACATTTCATATAAGTGGAATTATATAACATATGGTTCTTTGTGATTTTCTCTTAGAGTGATGTTAAATACAGATGCAACAATTCAACTCCTAAGTGTATACCCAAAGGAAATGTTTCATTCATATTATAGCATGTATCAGAATTAATTTCTTTTTTGTCAGATATTCATACCACAATTTATATATCATTTGTCAATTGATGAACTTTTAGGGTTATTTCCACTTTTGGTGTTATAAATAGTAATGCTTACTGTATTCATGTACAAGTTTTTGTGTGAACGTACAAAAGAATTACCAGTTTTTCACAGTGGCTGTACCTCTTTACATTCCCATCAGTAGTTTGTGAGTTTTTTGACTTTTGTATACCTTTCCCAATACTTGTTGTTGTATTTTTTTTATTACAGTTCTACTGGGTGTTAATTGATATCTCATTGTGGTTTCGATTTGCATTTCCCTGATGGCTAATGATGCTCCCTGATGGCTAATAAGCATCTTACTATAGCTTACTGGCCATTTGTGTATCTTTTCTAGAGAAAATTTTGTTCACTTCTTTGCCTGGTTTTTAATTGGGTTGTCTATTATTAAGTTCTATCTTTATGTATTCTGGATATAAAGCTTATCAGATACATGATTAACGAATATTTTCTCTCTTGTGAGTTGTTTCCTCACTTTCTTAATGTTGGTATACTATGAAGCATAAAAGTTAAAATTTGATGATGCTCAGTTGATCTTTTTTTTTTCCTTTTCTGTGCTTTTGGTAGCAGGTATATGTAATGACTGCTTAATACAGGATCACAAGACTTAACACTTGTTTCCTTCTAGAAGTTTTATAGACTTCTTATGTTTTAAGTCTGATCCATTTTGAATTGATGTTTATATATAGTGTGAGGTTTTGTATGTTGATTTTATATTCTATCACTTCATTGAATTCATTTATTAGAAACTATAGTTTTTTGGTGGAGTCTTTGGAATTTTCTACAGATATGATCATGTCATCTGCAAATAGAGATAATTCTATGTCTTCTCATCTAATTTAGGTAACTTTTATATCTTTTTGTTGTTGTTGTTCAAGTGTGTTTGGTAGAACTCTTCTAGGTCTGTTGACTGAAAGTTGTGAGAGTGGATAATCCTTACCTTGTACCCAGGATCTTAGAGGAAAAGTTTTCAGTTTTTCCTGATTATGTTAGCTGTGAGTTTTTCATAAATGGCCTTTATTATGTTAAGGAACTTTTCTTCTATAATTAACTGTTAAAGAGTTTTTTCTTTTTTTTTTTTTTAATATTTATTTTATTAGGTGTAGATGGACACAACACAATGCCTTTATTTTTATGTGGTGCTGAGGATTGAACCTGGGTCCCGCGCATGCTAGGCGAGTGCTCTACCGCTGAGCCACAATCCCAGACCTAAAGAGTTTTTCCAAGAAAGAATTTTGTATGGGCTGGGGCTGTAGCTCAGTGGCAGAGCACTTGCCTAGCATTTGTGAGGTACTGGGTTTGACCCTTAACACCACATAAGAATAAAAACAAATAAAATAAAGGCATTCTGTCCATCAACAACTACAATTTTTTTTTTAAAGACAAGATATTGTACTATGTCAAATGCTTTTCTCTGTCAGTTGTTGTCATCATGTAATTGTCCTTCAGTATGTTAAGGTGATGTATCACATTGATTGATTTACATATGTTACACTAGCCTTGCATGCTAGGGATAAATCCTACAAGATCATGATGTATGTATAGTCTTTTTTTTTTTTAGTACTGGGAATTGAACCCAGCAGTGCTTTGCACTGAGCTATATCCCAGCCCTTTTTTAAAATTTTGAGATAGGGTCTCCTAAGTTGCCAGGCTGTCCTTGAACTTGGAATCCTCCTATCTTAGCTTCCCAAACGAATAATGTATAAGTTTTTTGATGAGTTGTTAAATTTCATTTGCTAATATTTTATTGAGGATTTTTGCTTTAAAGCTTATTTATTTTTTGTAATTTTTTTTCACATTAATGTTTAACAGAAATATTGATCTGCAGTTTTCTTTTTCTTTTGATGTCTTTATCTTGCTTAGGTATCAAGGTGATGCTGGCTTCTTAAAATGTGTTAGAAAGTATTCCCTCTAACTCTGTGTTTGAGAAGAGTTGAAATATTGGTCTTAATTCTTTTTTTGAAAGTTTGTTTGAATTCTGCCACAAAGCAGCCTGGTCCAGGACTTCTCTTAGATGGGAGATCAGATTACTTTAATAACAGATTGAGATATGTAGGAGCTATATCTCAGTTCAAAAGATTAGTCTGTTTCTGGTTTAAGCTTTAATAAGATAGTCATTTAATAGTCGTTTTAGCTGGGTGAAGGTGGTGTATGCCTGTAATCCTAGTGACTTGGGAGCCAAGACAGGAGGATCATGAGTTCAAAACCAGCTTTAGCAACTTAGTGAGGCACTAAACAACTCAGGGAGACCATCTCTAAATAAAATATAAGAAATGGCTGGGGATGTGGTTTAGGAGTTAAGTGCCTCTGGGTTAAATCTCTGGTACCCAAAACAAACAAACAAACAAACAAACAAACAGTTTTGATTAGTATCAGTTTCCTAATAAATACCACTCTAACAAATTACTACAAACTTAGTGATGTAAAGCAACAAAAATTTTTTCTAATTCTGGAGGTCAGAACTATAAAACCCTTGTTGTGGGCTAAAATAAAGATTCAGCAAGTCTGTTTTCTTATGCAGGCTCCCAGAGAGAATTTATTCCTTACTTCTTCCAGATTCTAGAGGCTGTAGTGATTTCCTGGGCTCATAGCTGCATCACCCTGATCTCTGCTTCTATCTTTACATACTTTTAAAGATACTTGTTAGAGGGAATAATAGACATCTTATATAAAAATATACTTTTTAAATAAATCTTTGGATAATCTTCAGTACAACCTTGCCATTAGACTTTTCACCTCCTTTTTAGTTGCCTGCCCTCTTTGTTTTTGGTGCTAGGGATTGAAGCCAGGGCCCTCTGCATGTTAATAAGCACATGATCTACCAACCCCCTTGCCTCTTGCCTTGGATATATTGGGCTTATCAGAATATTACTGGTTACTCTCCTATCTCAAGATCCTTAACTTAATTGTACCTGGAAATACTGAGGATTAGTACTTAAACATCTTAGGAGATGTTATTATTCAGTGAAGGACAGGGTCCTATCCCGACACCTGAGTTCCATGGCTCATCCTACTCAGCAGGTCCTGAATTCTGCATTTTATCTTCTCAGCTTCTGCTTTTCATGATCTCTTTGCTCAGTTTCCCACCTGTCAGCCTTTACTTTTTGGGGAAAAAGAATTGTCAAATGTTGAATTTGTCTTTCTGGGAATTCCCTCTTCTCTCAAATTATTTTCACAGTTTTAAGTAGTCTTTGAAGCCATCAGACAGATCCTGTTTCTTTTTTGTCCAGTTCTTCTTAGCAGAAAGACTGATTTAAAATAGCCTAGTTTTCAATTTAATCTCTTTTTAAAAAACAGTGAATAGGTGCACTTTGTCAGATTTTATAATATTGTATATTTCATTGTCCTTATTTTTCATTTATTCATGACAATCCTCTTATGTTCTAAAGATTTTGCATTCCCTACTTGCTTTATTTGTCTTATGCTATGAATTAAAAGTGAAAATTTCTGATGGCCAGCTACTATAAATTTTTCTTTATTGAAAAGACCTAAAAAAGAAGTATACTTGTTAGAGGGAATAATAGACATCTTATATAAAAATATACTTTTTGAATAAATCCTTGGATCATCTTCAGTACAACCTTGCCATTATACTTTTCACCTCTTTTTAAATAAAGAATGATCATGAGTTACAGCCTTATGTTCTTTGAGAAACAGACTTTGGACAGTTTTCCTAATCTTTAAAATTTTTTTTGCAGTATAGGGGATTGAACCCAGGACCTCTTGCATGCTAGGCAAGTGCTCTACCACTAAACTTCATCCTGAGCCTTTCTTTCCTAGTCTTAAGGGCGAAGTTCTGCCATATATTGCCCAAGTGAATGATTTGTGATAACGTTAGCTGCGCTGGCTTTGTTTGTTACAGTGGTCAGATTTGAAGGACTTAAAAGCTGAGTAAATCCAAGTGAGTTTAACATACGTGAGGAAATAGATGCTGTCTGCTTCTTAGACATCTGTCTAGATAAAATCTGGTATAATATTTTTAGTTTTTACTTATGTGTTGCCTTGTTTCAGTATGAAGGCTTAGAGTCATCTTTAAAGGATACCAGTTTTGAGAAGGAGTCAACAGAAGCACAAAGTTTGGAGGTAAAAAAGAAAAAGAAAAAGAAAATTTAAAACATTGGGATAAAGGGTTCTTACTAAATAACTTGAACTTTAAAAATAATAGAGCTTCTCAAAACTTAAGTATTTCAAAGAAATGTGAATGAACATCTCTGAATGCCAAGGTTTAAGAATAAAAAAATTAGAGGTAGGTAGCATAAAATACTTTAAAAATTTGAGCCTTTGATATTTAACTTGTTTTGAGTGAGGAATAGTCAGTTATTGGAATCTAGAACTGTACAGAAGTTTTTATTCTTCATTGCTAAGAAACACATTAAAGTAACTATTCCTACAAATTTAGGATTCGCTGGAAATAATACATTATGTAAATTGCCTTTACTTCATCCAGGATAGTAGAAGTTAACTAGAATTAGGCCAATGTAAGTAGTGGAGTACTAGTAAATGTTTAACAACCACTCTCTGAAGAGCATTTACTGAGTTTTATGTATAAATATTCCCACTGTGGCCAATTTTAGGCTATCAATATGATTTCACTGAATAACACGTTTTGAAGAGATTTACATAGTTGACTTTCCTGAGCCAGGTGTGATTCAGTTATTCATAAAGAAGGAAAATATGGTAATTTAGCTAAACTAGGACAGATTCAGGCCTTAATGCTGTTAGAGATGAAGGTGTTGTATTAAGTGAAGTAGTAGAGAAGGACAGTAGAGGAAGCCTGTTTCTGATAATGTAAAAGTAGAAAGCAGTAGACCTTGTACCTTTGACATATATGTTCAGTCCAGGTTGGCAGTTCTCAGTCACTAATGTCTGTTCTTAGAAAGTTATATGTCATGATTCAGAATTTCCTTGTTAGAGTTACAAGGAATTTATAAATTGAATTCCCAAATACAACAAATTTCTTGGTTTTCTCTTTCTTCAGTTGTTACCTTTTAATATCCAATAACTACTGAAATTGTATTTTATTTGTTGACCCTGTTTTAAATTCTGTCCCAGTAGTAATTTATTAGTTTGATAAAAAAAAAGAATTTTAGAAAACTTTAAGCATGGTAACAGAACAAAAAATGGGTAGCAAAGACATTTACTTAAGTTAGGTGATATTGTGAATAAAATAAAATATACCAATTTGTTGTTAAGGCATGAATTTATATAACTTAGTAGTAAAATTTGTTGTGTTTTTAGCTGAAAGAAATAAATTTTGGGAAATTTTCTCAAATTTAGTATTTTTTTTTTTTTTGGTGGTGGGGGATTGAACCTAGGGTCTTGTGCATGCAAGGCAAGCACTCTACCAATTGAGCTATCTCCCCAACCCCTCAAATTTAGTAATTTTTTAAATAAGTATTTTTTCAGGAGTAGCCATCATAATTGAGTACACACTATATATAATGTGATATAATTTGTGGAAAGTTTGATGATTATAGATAAAAATCAAACAAAGTAATTTTGATTCAAGTTAGATTTTCTATAATAAAATTGTCAAATTTGGGTAAATATATAAAACAAGCTTTTTAACAACAGTAGGATCTTTTGATTTGTTATTTTTATTTATTTATTTTTTTGATTTGTTATTTTTTAAAAAAAGTTTGGTGAAGGATCACAAATATCAGAGGTATGTTTATTATAGCATTTAAAATCCACTTGAAATAATTTAGTGACTAATCACTTTAAATCAAAGAGGTTATAGAAAATATGTCATAATTCAATGGGGGAATATTATGATTAAGCAATCTTGATTGGTTTTCTAGTTTATTTTTAAAATTTTCTCTTTTTGTGTGCAGTTCTAGGGATAAAACTTAGGGCCTCATGCATGCTAGGCAAGCACTCTATCTACCACTGGTCTTTTCTTATTGGACCTGTTTTTCCTATTTTTCCTTAATGTGCTTTAGGGCAGAGGTTGGCAAACTGCTAGGATTTTCCACCTGTTTTTGTAAATGAAGTTTTATTGAAACACAGCCATGTTTGTTCATTTAGGTATTGTCTTTGTTTCTTATTAACAGTGACATACATAGTTGAGTATTTATGACAGACTGCATGCCCTACAAACCTGAAATATTTACTCTCTATTTACAGAAGTTGTTTGCTGACCACTGATATAATTTCTGTTATTTTAATATTATAAAAATGAGCAAATATATAAATTACATATGTAATATGTACATATGTTTGTCTATACTGGTCTGATTTACCTTAACCAAAAATTCATGAGTCTGTCTTAAAGTTGATTTTCTGTTTTAGGCAACATATGAAAAGCTGGATAGGTCCAAGTCTAAACTTGAGGATGAAATACTCTTTCTAGAAAAAGAGCTAAAAGAAGAGAAATCTAAACATTCTGAACAGGATGAATTGGTAAGGCTTTCATATTTGAGGAGAATATAAGAAAAAACAGTTTTTGTTTTAAAAATTAATCCAATATTGCTTAAATATTACATGTACTATAAAAAGTGCAAAGAATACAGAAGAGCAAAAATTTCCAGATCTACTCTTTTTACTTCCTAGATGTTATTTTAAATTTTTTGCATGTTCCAATAGAAATTTTCTATGTGCATTCTGTAAGTAACTCATACATATTTCAAGTTGAATCATTACATGCCTGGTGGGTGTTTTTATTATTTAAATAAAAGATATATTAAGAACATTATGACTTTCTGTTTAAAATATGGCTTAAGGAAAATTTTGATGTGTGTGAGATTATTTAATAAGATGATGTAATATTGGTGGATTTACTTGAGCCTCTGTAAGTGTTACAAAATATTGAATTTGAGTTTAGATACTGTTGTTATGGAATTATGGTATAAAATCCCTACCAGCATATGGTAAATAAACTGAAGAACTTCTAAATTTGAGCCCTTACTTATAAAACAAAAAGAGTAGATTAACAATATACCTAATATATATGAAATCTTTGAAACTGAAGGGGTTTAGTAAATACTTATTTGTTGAATGATACTGTCTTTACAGATGGCAGATATATCAAAAAGGATACAGTCCCTAGAAGATGAATCAAAATCTCTCAAATCACAAATAGCTGAAGTAAGTTGAATTAGTCTAACAGTCTGTTGCTTGTGAAAATCACTGTAATTTTATTGTTATTTTTATTATTAAGAATTAAGATACTATACTAGGATTTGAGATATGGGGAATCTTAAATATCTATTTTTTTTACATGAGGTACTTCAGAGAAGTTCATTTTTTACTGGGCAATTGAATGTGAATAGCACATTGTGGATACAAAAATGTCCAGGGTGTTTAAATTTTAGTAGGGGAGACACAGATAGTTAACAAAATTTGTTGCATAGTACCTAGTTTACAGACCATTAAATCATTTGTTCATGTCACATGGCAAATTAGTGGCACAACCAGGACTATACACCTGATTCTACTTTTTTTTTTTTTTTTTAAAGAGAGAGGGAAAGAAAGAGAGAGAATGAGAATATTATAATATTTATTTTTTAGTTTTTGGCAGACACAACATCTTTGTTTGTATGTGGTCCTGAGGATTGAACCCAGGCCGCACGCATGCCAGGTGAGCGTGCTACCGCTTGAGCCACATCCCTAGCCCCCTGATTCTACTTTAATGTTTTTTCCTGTAATACTGTGCTGCCTTGGACATGTTTTTGCCTTTGTTTAAATTCCATGTTCTAGAGAGAAATGTGTAAAGATAAGCTGTTATGTTAAACTAATTGTTAGAAACTCAATAATTTTTGTTTTACTTAGGCTAAAACAACCTTGAAAATATTTCAAATGAATGAAGAACGACTTAAGGTAGCAATGAAAGAGGCTTTGAATGAAAATTCCCAACTTCAGGAAGGTCAGAAACAGGTTTGTACTCTGTAAAGACTCTTCAGCTCAAGAATATATAATCATAAATTTTCTGGGAATACTTATGACTTATTCATTCTAGGAGCAAGAGTGGGCTTCTTTTTTTTTTTTTTTTTTTTTTGGAGAGCACAAGAGCAGGACAATCTCTGTTACTTACTTTGTTGTTTCTTTTGCATAGAATACTAAAGTGTATACTTCAGTCACCTTCTTTTTCCAGGAATGAAAGTAAACTGGGATATTTAGCATTTTGGTAAACACAGAAAATAGCATTTAGCACCCACTCCTCAAAGCTAGCCTGCAGGGCAGGGTGCAGAGAATACCAATCAGGATTATTGAAGTTATCAGTTGGGGACTTAAGGATGTAAGGAGTTCTGGTGGTAGAATAAATTAGGATTTAGCTTTTATTCTCTTCTTCATATAGACATATATACAGTCCCATACATTCACTTACATTTCCTACTCTTTGTTTTCCTAATAAAGTTAATAGTTTTTCAGTGAGAAAAATTTTAGGGGTTATTGTGATTCTCTCAATCTGGTATACCCTTATTATATAATCCATTTTTACCCACCATTTGTTTTACCTGTAGTTAATAATGGTTTTGTTTCCTGTAATATCTATCTGTAATCCATCTGTACACTGTCTTCTAGGGATGTGAATTTCTTATTTATGCTTTCAAATGCCTTGGTTAACTTGTTTATTTCACTTTCTTTCTAGAAGCAATTTGTCCTGGGGCCTTTTATTCTCATGGTTCAATAATAACTTGTTCTGTAGATCTGTTAGGCTTCTGTTGTCCTTAAATTTCACTTTCCTTCCATTCTGAGGATTCCACCTCTTTTTCCTGTGCTGTACCTAAGACTTACTCTTTTGTAGTTAATTCTTTTGATTAGCTTCTTGAGAAAGAGGTATAGAAAGTAGTGTTTTTAGACCTTGCATACCTGAAAATATCTTGTTTTTCTCTATTACTTACTGATATTTTTATAGCATCTGACTTGCAATTATTTTTCCACAAAATCTTGTCATTATTATTCCATTGGCTTTACTGTCCATTGTTGCTTTTGAGAAGTTAAATGCTGTATGGATTATGGTACATGTTTTTGTTACCTTTTCTTCCCTGGAAGATTTTAGTAACTTTTCTTTGTTTCCAGTTCTCTGAAATTACATGACTATGTGCCTTGGTGTGTGTTGTTTTATACATTGTGTTGGATCCTTTCAGTTTGGTTTGATTTGGAAACTCCTCTTGATTCAGTTCTGGGAAATTTACTTAAATTATTCCATATTTTTTGGGGCATAATTTCTGTAATAATGACTTGAAAACATCTTCTTTTTCATCTTTATGTAACTTTTGTTCATTTTTTTTCTAATCTTTTTTACTTGTAAGGATTCTTTTTGGTTTGCTTTTGCTTTTTTTTTTTTTAATCTTGCTGAGGATTTTGAAGGTTTTCTTAAATATTTTTCATTTCCCTGAATTGCCTTGTTAACTTTGAGTTTCTTTATTTTGTGTTTTGGCCTATATCTTATCTAAAAGATTCTCTTTACAGATATTTGGAGATTTATGGCTGTTTTCTTGTTTGAGATGCCTTCTAAATCTAATTGGAAGTACCACATTTGTCACCCAGGGTCTTTTCTGTAGGGTGATCTGGCTGGGGTGTTTCCAATTAGAGGATCTCTAGGATCTCAAGGCCCTAGGTTCATTCCTCAGTGCTAGATGGAAAAGGTAAGGAGGAGACCAAATATAATGGATATGTACATGTCAGAAAGCCTTCTATTTGATATGAATTTATTTTGTAAATCAGTTGAATGTGTAAGTTGTCCTTATTTTGTCTTACTCCTATTTTGAAAGTTCTTTGAAATTAGGAGCCATATCTTTCTTTTTTAAGTAGCAGCACTGCCTTCTTAATATTTTTAAATGTATACCCAAATATATAAATAAGTGCATCTACCCATAAGCATGATGAGGTGAAGTTGCATTTCTCTGTTGTTTTTTTCAATTTCAGCTTTTGCAAGAAGCTGAAGTGTGGAAAGAACAAGTGAGTGACCTTAATAAACAGAAAATTACATTTGAAGAATCTAAAGTACATGCAGAACAAGTTCTAAATGATAAAGAAAATCACATTAAGGTAAATGGCTCTCATCAATTTTAGTGACTGAGCTGGCTAGACTTTTATAGTAACTCTGAAATTTGAAAACTTTTGTTTTTAGCCACTTTTGATTATGTATTTGGCCAGATTTCAAAATGCTATTTGAAGATCTTTGTAATATATATCAACATATATGTCTGTATGTCCTTTTTTTCCTTTTGTGTCTGCAGTATTTTAGCATAAGTATTTCATAAAGAAAAAGAATAATGTTTTTTGTCTTTCTAGGCTTCCATCTGCTTTTGATGGTAAGATGTTAGAGTTTGAGAAATTAGGCAGATAGTTAATTTTTTTTTTTTTTTTTATTGCTTGTGTACCTTGAATACTTACTGGTGTTTTGTACTTTTACAGAGATGAAGAATTTTTAAAGAGTAGATTTACTTTCAACTTGACTCTAATCATAGTAATAAAGTAATTGATATTACTCTGTTGACTTTTTCTTATTCCTTGTTCTCCCTACTGCTAACCCCTTTCCCCTGTGTATATTCTTTTAAATCTTATGTTTTCAATCTATAAACAAATTTTCAAGTGTGAATATCAAGAAATGAAATGTAAAACTGACCATTTTATAATTTGCATAGTAAAATGGATGTTGTCATAATGAAAGCTATACATTTATGATATTTATGTTGCTACCAAGAATTTTTAGATTCTGATTTTGGAGTTTTATTCTTAATTTGGTATATAGTTGGCCCACGTGTCTGTGGGTGTCACATCTGTAGACTGAAAAAATTACAGATTAAAAACATTAAAAAACAGTATCTGTACTGAATAATATACAAAGTTTTCCTTGTCATTATTCCCTAAACAGTATAGTGTAACAACTATTTATATAGCACTTGCATTGCATTAGGTGTTATAAATAATATAGAGATGCTTGAAAGTATACAGGCAGCTGAGCGTGGTGGTACACACCTTCAATCACAGAGGCCTGTGAGGCTGAGGCAGGAGGATTGCAAATTCAAGGCCAACCTCAGCAATTTAGTGAGGAAGTAAACAACTTAGACTGTCTTAAAATAGAAGGGGCTGGAAATGTAGCTCAATGGTAAGAAATCACCTCTGGGTTTAATTCCCAGCACTCCCAACCCCTCAAAAAAAGTATACAGGCAGATGTACATAGGTTATATGCAAATTCTTTGCCATTTTATATAAGGGACTTAAGTGTGTATGAATTTTGGTATCTGGATTGAGTGTGTCCTTGAACCAGACCCGTTTGGATATGGAGAGATGACTCTACTAATATTTTCCCCCTAAACTTAATGTACTTAAAGAGTTTATAGGTGAAAATTTTAGAGCAGAGCAGATATTAGGTGGGCTTTTCCAGAGAAATACTAGGCACAGTCATTTGATTATCTGTAGTGTTAGAAAACCTTTCTTTGTTCAAGAAAATTAAAGTACTCTTAGAAAACTTTTGAGTGTTCTCATATAAATTCTCCTTTTTATCTTTTTAAAATTTCAGTTGAACTCCTCAGGTGGTTGTTTACTTAAATAAATCAAGTGGAAATCTATGATCTTTTTGTGTATTGTATGTCTCACTTGCAAATTTGGTAACACATAAAATTTACTCCTGTATTAATGGCCACTCTTATTTGTGGTATGTGAAAAATGTCGTATAAGAAAATGATTCATTGCTCTGTAGTTATTTATTTAGCAAGAATGGGCCATTATCAAATGTTATATTTGATTTAGGAATAACTAATTTTGGTTTTCCTTTTACAGAGTTTAACAGTCAGTAAACGCTGTAGTTTAAAACACTATTTACATATCTTAATAACAGATAGAAAATAAGAGCTCATGTGCTGTTATTTATATGTATTGATTTTTCAACTACTACTATACATTCATAAGTTGTAAAGCCATTAGCATAGGCATTACCTTTCTCTTTTATTTTTTCCCTTTGCTAAATGTCAAGTCTCTGATTGAATGCTTGCTAAAGATGGAAGACTGGGGTGCTGTGCTTGGAGAAGACCTAACAGATGATGGTAACTTGGAATTGGAAATGAACAGTGAATCAGAAGTTGGTGCTTACTTAGGTATTAAGTCATGACTCATCTTCTTTTGCTAAAATGGTGACTAGCTCTTCTATTTCCTTTTTGTTCCTCATATGCACTATGTTCTTTACACAATTGTACTTTGGTATATTCTCTTTGTCTGTCTGAAACACTGTGTCATTCTCTCACCATCCCATGTGGTTTAGCTTCACCTAATCCAGTAAATATTTCTTCAGCCCCACAAATGGACTCACACAGCTCCTTTATACCTGTTCTCTTTATGTATTATATTTGTTGTCATTATAATAATTTTCATAATTGCATCAAACATTTTATTGTTTGTTTTTCTCAGTACTCTTAAGTTAATTACGTGGATGGGTGACTGGTTTAAAAACTGAGTGTTATATAAAAAAATAATTCATGATACTTTTTTGTGTTTTGTTTTTATCAGATGATCATAGTACTTGGATCTTGGCCATCTCAAATTATTGTTTTGTTTTTGGGTACTGGAGATTGAACTCAGGGGCATTCGGCCACTGAGCCACATCCCCAGCCCTATTTTGTATTTTATTTAGAGACAGGGTCTCACTGGGTTGCTTAATGTCTTGCTTTTGCTGAGGCTGGCCTTGAACTCGTGATCTTCCTGTCTCATTCTCCCAAGCCACTGGGATTACAGGAGTGTGCCACCCCACCGTACCTGGCACCTGGCTTCAAATTGTTTTTATCATTCCCTCACTATAGCCACTCACTGTATTCTCAAACTAATTCCTTGGACTGGTTAAAAAACAATTTTTATGTTGAAATAATTGTGGAACTGTTAGACCAGGATGCAAGAAAAGACCACTGACTCCAATGAAAATCAAATTAAAACAAGCTTATTATTTCAACCGGCCGGGCTGCCTCTCCCTCCCCAAATGGCGGGAACAAGACAGCATCCCAGCTTTCCTGCAGCCCAGCTTTATAGCCCAGAAAGTTACACAAAGGGGGGTTACAGATAACAGAACTCTGACAAGCATCAGCATCACACTAATGGTAGTTTACATTTTTTGCTGGCCCCAACATCAGAATTTATGAGGACCATTAGAGCCTCAGAGAGGGTCGTTGTCTGGCCAGGGAAGGCCAATATTTATGAGGTATCACTAAGTTTCAGAGAGGGCTGCTCTCTGGTCAGAGAGCCAGGCATGGGTGAGTTCAAGGCACTGGCAGGCATTCAAGCAGGTTCAGAATTTGCAGTAATTTATAGTAAAGCCGAAATTATCTTTTCATGGCTTTGTGGCGAGATTGCTCCCAATTTTAAGAAAAGATCAGGTTGGGTCTATCATTCCCCCCTTTTCTTATGTGTCCCTTTCAAATCTTTGATAGGGTAGGGGAAGAGCACTGAGGGAATTTTAATCCCTTAGGCAACAGTCTCCAACTTTTTAGAACTCACCCAAAACCGGTCTCCCTGATTTTACCTGACTTAATTGATTACTTATATTGATAATCTATTTATTTTTGGCTCCATTGTTGTAAGAAGAGGGGCGTCGCTCATTTTGGCTTCTTCTGAGCTGAGAGAGGGTGACGTGAGGGGGCATGGCATGAGGGGCATGAGTTTCCTTTTAGTTCGGTTTGAAGTCTGGTTGGGGAAGAACAGGTTGTAAAGTCATCTGGGGATGGGTGCTTCTATGAGAGAAACAAAAACCATGAGTACTGAATAAATGTTGCAGCAGCTGGAACATGTCACTGTTTAGAAGTTTCCTCACCAGGCTTTAACATCCCCAGTTATCAGGTCTGTAAGCATAACATTTAACTTTTAGTGTTACAGTTGTGCCTCCCCATAAGATACAGTTTAATAATTTAATGTCATCTGATCTTGCAAAAATTTTTTACTAGTATGATCTCTGTGTCTAATAGAGAAACCTTTAATTCTGTTACTCAGGGCTGGATAATCATACTAGCAAACACGAAGTCTACCTGTGTAGGTTAGGAATATCTGTAGGCCTTAAACTAAAAATTTCTGTCTCTGGCAGCTCCTCTTGATAGTCTCTTTTTATAGTTATCAGGCGTTTCTGTCTGAGAATCCTTCTTTGTAGCCTCCAGTCTTACTTATTTTGGGAGGCTAACATAAAGTGTATATCTTAAATTATTATTATTATTATCATCATTATTATTTAAAATGCCCAGGAATGGCTGTATTTTGGTTTCAACTGTCTTTGCTAAGTGTTTAAGATGAAGCAGTCAAACTGACTTTTGTTTTTATCTATTGTTAACAGTCAGCTGAGCTTTTATGGGAGTCATTTCTGGGGAAATTTGAGAGCAGCTTCTCAGTTCTGCTAGTGCCATTTGCGCTAGGATGGGTCCAGGTCTTGCTTGACCATGTGGCTTCCCTTGGAAGCATCAGGGGTGTCTCCCTCCCCTGATGACCCTCCTCTTCATAGCAAATGCACTGATTGGCTTTCTGTTCTCTAGTGGTCTCATTAATCTCCCTAATCTGGAGGTTATGTGGCCCAGAGTTGCAAAGCTCTTTAGAGAAGTCCCTTGTTCCCTGGATTCAGATTGACTCAGAGGGCAAGAGCCAAATATTGGTTTTTCTGGCCCTTTTAATTTAACTTTAATTTTAAAACTTAATCTTAAACATCCAGCAAATAAATTTTAACAGACTTATATTAAGAGTACTGGGCTTTAATGTCTATAACTTTATAATTATTTATCTTTTTATTAATTGGGATCTGTATTATCCTAGGTGATGGCTTATTATCTTAAATTAACCCATGTTGTGTTCTTAGGGCAACATGGTTCTTAGAGCAACACTTCTGTAAAACACTAATAGGGAATCTTTAGATCATTTATAAGGAAATTACAAAATAAAATTTACAAGAGTAAAAACATTTAGTTCGTGTAATAGCTACCCTGAATTTTTGGCTGAGTTATACATTATATCCCCTGTTTGAGATCCTAGTAATCTTGACAGAAAAAAAAAAAAAAAAAACAACTTTTGAACATAACTTTAAATGAACTAAAATCTGGCCTACTGTTTTTGTAGTCATTCTCACATGTAGTAAGATGGGACACAGAGCCTTATCTCAGGTAAGGCAGGGCTCTTTATAAATCTTAAATGTTTTAGTTCTAAAGCTGATCTTTGTTTTTTAAATATCATTTTACAAAATTTTCATAAATTATTTGAGGTCACATGAACATTAGCTAACACCATATGATATCACATTTAAAACATGAATTAAAGAAAGGCTGAAAGTTTTTAACCTTTACATCGATTAGGCTCTCATTAACTTAAAAATACATTTAAATTGTTCCCCAATGTAAAAAGTAACATAAAACTTTATGTATCTTATTGATAACAGGTAAATAAATCCCCAGTATATTTTTTACCATACAACTTCAGAACACCAGCTTGATATAATGCTCTTTTCTTTTAAAGTTTCTACCTTACAGACTTGTATACCTGGAAGATATGAGCACATTAACAGCACCACAATTACATTAATGTTTTTATATTAACCAAGTTTAGCTTTTAAAAAATGACAGTATAATGCTCTAAAATAACAGTTCTTATTTAACCAGTTGTTTAATTTTTATGGTTGCTTGCTCTAGAAAAAAAAAAAACTTAATAAACACAATGTTATGGGTAAACTTATGTTTTAAGAAATTTTTGTCTCTTTAACACATGACTGATTTTTACAATCTTATACAGATCCTAGTACAAACTTAGTAAATCAATCAGATATCTAACAAAAGTACTCATGAATGAGTAATCCCATATCAAATTTACTTTACTTATTTTATCAAAATATTAGACAAGTGTATTGAACAGTGCTAGCCATTTTTTTTTGTTGTTGTTGAAGGAAAAGTCCTAGACCCAAGGCATATTAGACATTTTATAGACATTAATATTTTATTAGTTTTTTTGAACACCTAGAAAAACTTGTAAGCTTAAATTTAAAGACATTTATTTTTATATGTTTATCCAATTTAAATTGAACCATTTAAATTATGTGAATTAAAGATCTTTGGATCCATTTTTTAAATTTGTTTTTATGAGCGCTCCTTATATATGTTAATTTGTATGTCATATATATGATATACGGACATACGTGTATATATAGACATACAACACATAACACAAGTGTGCACACATAACAATAGTAAAGGCCTTGTAGCTTTTCGCAGGTGAAATCTCCATTGCAATGTTTCAAAAACTCCACAGTTGGTCAAAATAGAACTGATCAGAAAAACATTAACCTAGGTCTGTAGGATCAAAATCATGAGCTCAAAAAAAATACAGAATCTAAGAAAAAAACAAGAGTCCTAGAAAAAATGACTGGCCAGTAATTAGTAAATACCATACAATTTACCTTTTTTTTTTTTTTCCTTAGGCCTCAGATCAGTCTCCTGAGCTTGCAGGCTTCTTTCATTTGCATTTCAACATAAGTCCTGACTGAGGTCTGGAAGGAGCAGGGAAAAACTGCTATTCTGAGCAGACACCTCAGGCCTAAGGCATTTTAACCATAAGTCATAATTTTCAGGTTTGGATGTTGAAAATTATGATACAAGTTTAAGATACAATTCCAAATTTCATATCTTTACATCTTGTTTTGTCAACAGATACCATACTATGATTTACTATCCTTGTCCAAATTAATGCACTGGTACACACAGTGACATTTTCCCAGGCTACCCAATTTAAAATTGGTGAAAAAACTGAATGATTGGGAAGTTACTTGCCAACTTGGAAGTAGAGTTCTTTAGTTTTCCATCCTAAGTATTTAAGTTCTCTGAAATGAATTATCTGAAATCATAAACTAAACAATTACCTAAACTCAACTTTTAACTGCAAGATTGTGCAATGCTTCAAAAACCCATTCAGATACCAGATTGTTACAATAAACATCATCTTTTAGACACACATTCAGCCAAGATCATTCCCAAGAAACAATTTATAATATCAACACACTATTGCACATGTCTTAAAGAGCCAGAAACAAAGACACAGGACAGACAGACAGAAAGGAGCTCCAGACTATGGCTGATAGAAACCTTTAAAACAGAACAGATAAGAGAAAAATTTCCTACACCAGTGGCACCATAGATGTCCCCACAAGGGGACCAGATGTTTTCACAGAGGGGCAACCTGAAATGTAAAATCAAGGGTCTCCATGGTGACTTTACTGCATTTAGTGTCCCCTTTTTTTTTTCTCTTTTTTTAAGAAGACAGAGGTGGCATAATCCTTACAGTGCAGAGAAGGAAGGAGGGAATTCCCCGAAGCAACAGGGCTTTGGCAGCTGCTGGGTGTCCCTCAGTCCCTCCTTTTACTTATAGGATTAGCTCCTCTGGTTCGGTTCCACCCCAGGGGGTGGGGGGCGTGGTGATGGTATCAAAATTTGTAACTGAAAGTTCGGTTCCTGACCTTGAAGCCAGTTAATGCCAATTTAATAATGAGGACAGGGTTTTGAGAAAAAGAAAAAGGGAGGTTTATTGCTTTGCTAACAAAGGAGAAACACAGGGGACTCTCTTGATCTGAAGGGACAAGGGGTTTTGAAGGAGGTTCACTTGTTAACCTGGGAGATATTCAGTTCTTAGATCCCCAGCAGGCATTGCCCTCTGCAGTGGGTGTGCTCCAGCAGCCAGCTAGGGGCTTCTCTCACCCTGCTTAACAAAGGGGGGTAAAGTTCATCGCAGTTCCTTAAAACACAGTCCAAAGGAGTGTCAGGCTAACTTGCTTTATTACCCATTTTCACATCCAATATCCTTAAGTTTTTACCACAGAAATCACACAACAAAACGCACAAAAACAAACAAAAAACATAGAACACAGAACAAAACACAAGAAAACAGAAACCCGGCGCCGAAACAAAAACAGAGGAGTAACGCAACCTCTTGCTAAAGCTCCGGGGTAGGAGTGCGTGCGTGCCCGTCGGCACCTCTCTATCCTTCCAGAGGAATTCCCTACAGAACAGAACAGAGGACAGAACGATTTCTTGTTACTGTCCCAGACAGGCGTATATGTGAGCCTCGCCAGGCCACCTCTCTGTCATCAGAAGAGATCTCCCTTAACCGGATACCAGATGTTATAAAGGCACCACTTACCTATGGAGGCCTCCTCCACCAGGTGCTTGCTGATAGTTTTAGTGTGGCAGTTCACTGCAGTGCTCCGGGGACTGAAGGCTCACTCCGAGGCCTTGGAACATCTCAAGGTGAGCACCCCCTAGAGTGGCTCTCCAGCCCAGAGCCCTGGAGCGAAGGCTGGCTTCAGAATTTCCAGCAGTCTGGTCTTGTGATCTGGTCGGGCAGGGTCATCTCGCTGGGGCCTCCAAAATGTTAGACCAGGATGCAAGAAAGACCACTGACTCCAATTAAAATCAAATTAAAGCAAGCTTATTATTTCAATCGGCCGGGCTGCCTCTCCCTCCCAAGACGGCAGGAACAAGACAGCACCCCAGCTTTCCTGCAGCCCAGCTTTATAGCCAAGAAAGTTACACAAAGGTGGGTTACAGATAACAGAACTCTGACAAGCATCACACTAATGGTAGTTTACATTTTTTGCTGGCCCCAACATCAGAATTTATGAGGACCTTTAGAGCCTCAGAGAGGGTCGTTGTCTGGCCAGGGAAGGCCAATATTTATGAGGTATCACTAAGTTTCAGAGAGGGCTGCTCTCTGGTCAGAGAGCCAGGCATGGGTGAGTTCAAGGCACTGGCAGGCATTCAAGCAGGTTCAGAATTTGCAGTAATTTATAGTAAAGCCGAAATTATCTTTTCATGGCTTTGTGGCGAGATTGCTCCCAATTTTAAGAAAAGATCAGGTTGGGTCTATCAGAACCATGGAAAGTTGTAGCTATAATACAGAGTGATTCCATGTACCCTTTACTTGGTTTGCTCCACTGGTAGTTCTTTTTTTTGGATACCAGAGATTGAACCCAGGAGCGCTTAACCACTGAGCCACATCCCCAGAGCTTTTTGTGTTTTATTTTGAGTCAGGGCCTTCCTAAGTTGTTGAAGGTGGCTTTGAACTTATCATCCTTCTGCCTTAGCTTCCCAAGTCATTGAGATTGTCGGTGTCTCCATAGTGCTTGGCATCCTTCAATGCTAGTTCTAACTTATATATTCTTTTTCTCTTCTCTCTTCTCTGACCTACTACTGCATAATTAATTTGTTGAAGAATACGTATTTTTTAAAAGTTTTCTTTCATGATACTATTAATATTTTGGAAGAAAATTACACTTCCAAAGTGAATATATACAATAGTCCTCCCTATCCATCGGAGATAACTTTTTAAGCCCTCAGTAGATGACTGAGAAAACAGTTAGTACTGAATCCTGTATATATTTTTTCTCCTGTATCTACATGCCTATTTTTTTTGTAAATATTTATTTTTTTTAGTTATAGGTGAACACAATATCTTTATTTTACTTTTATGTGGTGTTAAGGATCGAACCCAGTGCCTCACGCATGGTAGGGGAGCGCTCTAACCTCTGAGTCACAACCCCAGCCCCTATGACAGAATTTTTAATTTATAAATTATGCATAGTAAGAGACACAATTAGCAATAATAGAATAATTATGAAAGTTCATATAATTCACATACTAAAAGTTATGTGAAGGTGGTTTCTTTCACTTGTGATTCTGTAGTAGGTTGTCCAGGTATTGAGATGGCTACTGAGTAACTAATGAGCAGGTAGCATATACAGCATGAATACTCTTATCTCAAGCAGAAAGGAGTAGGACAGTATGAGATTTTATCATATTACTCAGGATGGCATGCAGCTTAAAACTTGTGAATTGTATGTTCATGGAATTTCCATTTAATATTTTGTAATTGTTTATGAAACCATGAAAATCACAGAAAGTACAACCACAGATAAGATGGACTGTAATAAAGTTCTATGGACTGTAATAAAGTTCTATTTGTGTTTTTTTTTTTGTTTGTACTTTATCATCTAAGAAATAATTATTTTGCTAATAGAGAGAACCCATGCTTATTTAATGTATTTTTTTTTAATTTTTTAATACTTATTTATTAGTTTTTAGCAGACACAACATCTTTGTTTGTATGTGGTGCTGAGGATCAAACCCGGGCCGCACGCACGCCAGGCGAGCGCGATACGGCTTGAGCCACATCCCAGCCCCTAATGTATTTTTCATTTGGGTTATAGTTCTCATATTTTGGGTGCTGTAGGAATCCAAGAATAGTTGGGAAGTCTGTGATCTGTATTAATGTGAATGCTTAATCTTTATTATACCTCTGTTCTTTTAATTAATGTTGAAGAACATCATAGATGATATGGTACTTCCAGTGCTTTTATTGTTTAGCTTCCTGGGAGCAGGTCCAAGGTTGTTCTGCCTTATACCAAATTCTTTATTGTATGTAGCAAGAAGAGGTATTGCAGGGCTGTAGTTGAGTGACCTAACATAATCATTTGGGTGTATACTGTAGTATTATGCTACAATAATTAATCTAATTATGTAGATTATTTTCCCAAATAATCATGTTTTTGTTTTTCACTATAGATAATCAGCCAAAAGGAGCTTTGAAGAAAGTGGTTTATGCTGCTAAGGTTTGCAAATATATAATATGTAATATATAATGTGTAAATATAATGAATATGGTACAAGAGAGAGAACAGATTAAACCCGTATGTCCTTAGTGACTATTTTAAAAGTCCATTTTATTGTTCCTATGTAAGTGTATTTAAGAAATGATCAAAATTTTCTTTTTCGTTTTTTTTTTTTAATGAAATTCATAGTTAATTTTTAGAATTTGTTAAAACAAAAGTTTTCAAGTTCTGTACTTACTTCTTCAGAGACGGAATATATTTAAAATGTTTATTTTATCTCATACTTCCTTTGGTGCATTCTTTTTCTCCGGTCTTATTATTTTCTATCCCTATAGTTCTGTATCTTATTTTGAGAAGTAAAGGCTAGGTTCAGTTTCTTCCGGTTTATTCCTTCTATTTTCTGTCCTAGAAGTAGTATCCTGGTCTTGGATGATGAATATAAAGTCTTGGTAATGTAGTTTGAAGACTGCTTTAATCAAAGCATTCACTGCTTTTCTGTATCCGTGTCCTGAAACTGAACTACTCATGATTTTGCTAGCTTTCTATTATGGAAGCTGCATTGTTAATTTCTAAGTGATAATTTCATCAAAGTGATAAAATAGCTGCAGAAAGGCTGTGGGTGGCATATTGAGGTTGTGTGTGTGTGTGTGTGTGTGTGTATGTGTATGTTGTATAACTGATTGATGTTGCTTTTTTCTTTTTTTATTATTTAAAGTTAAATGCCTCCTTAAAAACCTTAGAAGTAGAAAGAAATCAAATTTATACTCAATTATCTGAAGTAGATAAAACAAAGGAAGACCTTACAGGTAAGTAAGCTATATACTTAACAGTTTTTAATACATTCCCTTATAGAGAATACATTTATTCAGTCAATTTTAGAAAGATTCAATTTCATTATTTTTCTTTTTCTTTTTTACTTTTGCTTTTGTTGGCTATTTGTGAAAAATTAGTCTTGGTATTTGTTGTTGGTTAAGTCTTCTGTTTCTTTTACATTTAACTGAAATTAAAATAATGAAATAGTTTTTAAAAACATGTGAAACCATGAGTTAAAATATTATTTTATGGTTGGTATAGTTTTAGATGTTAATAAATAAGGAATAGGAAATTTTTTTTTTTTTTTTAGATCTTTACATTTATTTATTTATATGCGGTACTGAGAATTGAACCCAGGGCCTCACACATTCTAGGCAAGCACTCTACCACTGAGCCACAACCCTAGCCCAGGAATAGGAAATTTAAAACTTTTATTAATTGCAGAATTGATCTTGAGTAGTGATACTAGTAGCAGTATGGTTTGCTTCTTTAATATATATACATAGTTTATTAGCACATATAGGATTGATGTTATACTGGTAGAAGTGAAGTTTTTCTTTTCATTGAGCTCAGCACAGTGGAATATCCCTGTAATCTCAGCTGCTCGGAAGACTGAGGCAGGAGAATTGTGTGAGTCTAAGGCTAGCCTGAGCAAAAATAAAAGAGACCCTGTGTCAAAAACAAAAACAATAAAAGAGAAAACCTTTCTACTTATTTTGTTGATAGTATTTGTATTTTAAAAAAGTAAACAAGTTCTTTTAGTTGTGTTCGAAAAAAGATTAAGTTAGCATCTCATTTTGTAAAAAAAAATCAAAAAATTACCATGTGTTTATTTATTTTTAATTTTTTATTGATTTTTTAAAAATAAATGACAGTGGAATGCATTACAACTCATATTACACATACAGAGTACAGTTTTTCATATCTCTGGTTATATATATAAAGCATATTCATACCAATTCATATCTTTATACATTTTATTTCAATAATGATGTCATTCACATTCCATCATTGCTAACCCCCTGCCCCCTCTGTTCCCCTCCCATTCTTCTGCCCTATCTAGAGTTTGTCTGTTCCTCCCATTCTCCCCCTCCTTACTTCGATATGAATCAGTCTCCTTATATCAGAGAAAACATTCGGTATTTGTTTTTTTGGGATTGGTTGACTTCACTTAGCATTATTTTCTCTGACTCCATCCATTTATCAGCAATTGCCATGATTTTATTCTCTTTTATTGATGAGTAGTATTCCATTGTGTATATATGCCATATATTTTTTATCCATTCATCTACTGAAGGGCATCTGTGTTGGTTCCACAGTTTAGCTATTGTGAATTGTGCTGCTATAAACATTGATGTGGCTGTGTCCCTATAGTTGCTGTTTTTAAGACCTTTGGGTATAGACTGAATAGAGGGATAGCTGGGTCAAATGGTGGTTCCATTTCCAGTTTTTCAAGGACTCTCCATACTGCTTTCCATGTTGGCTGCACCAGTTTGCAGTCCCACCAGCAATGTATGAGTGTACCTTTTCGCCACATCCTCACCAACACTTATTGTTGTTTGTCTTCATAATAGCTGCCATTCTGACAGGAGTGAGATGAAATCTTAAAGTAGTTTTGATTTGCATTTCTCTAATTGCTATCGATGATGAACATTTTTTCATATATTTGTTGATTGATTGTATATCATCTTTTGTGAAGTGTTTATTCAGGTCCTTGGTCCATTTATTGATTGGGTTATTTGTTTTTTTGGTGTTTAGTTTTTTTGAGTTCTTTTATACCCTAGAGATTAGTGCTCTGATGTGTGAGGGGTAAAAATTTGCTCCCAGGGAATAGGCTCTCTGTTCACCTCACCGATTGTTTCTTTTGCTGAGAAGAAACTTTTTAATTTGATTCCATCCCATTTATTGATTCTTGATTTTAATTCTTGTGCTATAGGAATCTTACTAAGGAAGTTGGGGCCTAATCCCACATGATGAAAATTAAGGCCTACTTTTTTTTCTATTAGACGCAGGGTCTCTGGTTTAATTCCTAGGTCCTTGATTCACTTTGAGTTGAGTTTTGTGCATGGTGAGAGATAGGGGTTTAATTTCATTTTGTTGCATATGGATTTCCAGTTTTCCCAGCACCATTTGTTGAAGATGCTGTCTTTTTCTCCAATGCATGTTCTTGGCACTTTTGTCTAATATAAGATAATTTTAATTTTGTGGGTTAGTCTCTGTGTCCTCTATTGTGTACCATTGGTCTTCCAGTCTGTTTTGGTTCCAATTCCATGCTGTTTTTGTTACTCTAGCTCTGTAGTATAATTTAAAGTCTAGTATTGTGATGCCTCCTGCTTTACTTTCCTTGCTGAGGGTTGCTTTGGTTATTTTGGACCTCCTATTTTTCCAAATGAATTTTCTGTTTCTGTGAAGAATTTCATTGTAATTTTAATAGGAATTGCTTTAAATCTGTATAGCACTTTTGGTAGTATTACCATTTTGTCAATATTAATTCTGCCTATTCAGGAGCATGAGAGATTTTTCAATTTTTTAAGGTGTTCTTTGATTTCTTTCTTTAGTGTTTTGTAATTTTCATTGCATAGGGTCTTTAACCTCTTTTGTTAGATTGATTCCCAAGTATTTTATGTTTTTTTTGAGGCTATTGTAAATGGATAATTTTTCTAAATTCTCAGTTGATGTACAACTGATGTACAGGAATGCAATTGATTTATGGGTGTTAATTTTATATTCTGCTACTTTGCTGAATGCATTTATGAATTCCAGAAGTTTTCTGGTGGAGTTTTTTGGGTCTTCTAAATATAGCATTATATCATTGGTAAATAGGGATAGTTTGAGTTCTTCTTTTCCTATTCGTATCCCTTTAATTTATTTTCATTTCGTTTTTTAGGTTTGGGAAGTTTTCTGATATTATTTCATTGAAAAGATTGTGTATTCCTTTGATTTGTATCATTGAGACTTCATCTATCCCGATAAATCTTAAATTTGGTCTTTTCATATTATCCCATATGTTTTGGAAGTTCTGTTAATGGTCTCTTAACATCTTTTCTCCATGGTCCAATTTATTTTCAAGATCATATATTTTGTCTTCATTGCCTGGAATGCTGCCTTCCAAGTGGTCTAGTCTGTTGCTAATACTTTCCATTGAATTTTAAATTTGGTTTATTGATTCTTTCATTTCAAGGATTTCTGCTTGATTTTTTTTTTTTTAGACTCTCTATCTTGTTATTGAAGTGATCTTTCACTTCCTTTATTTTCTTTCTGATTTCACTCCTTACATCATCCTTTACCTTGCAAATCAGTTTAACTATGATCATTCTAAACTCCTCTGAGATTTCTTCTACTGTGGTGTTGATGGATTGTTATTGAAATATCTTGGTTGATTTGAGTCGAGTTGTTCCCTTGCTTTTTCTTGTTGTTTGTGTGTCTACCCATGGAACACTATGGATCTGGGGCAGTAGAGATTATACCTTGTGTACTTATATTGCCCCTGAAGGTTTTATAGTACCTCACCATTTAGGGGGGAAGACATAGTTAACAACAACCAACTGAAACAATATGCAGCATTGAGCCCAATAGTTCCTTCTATGATGTCTATAATGTTAATTGTCAAAATAAACAGAAATGATATGATCAGTTATTACATATAATAAAAGTAGTAAGTTCGCAAAAGGGTTTACAATTTTAAATGGTGGACAGGGAGAGAACAGAAGTGATGCAGGATGTGATGATTATGAGGGAAGAGCAGAGAAGATACAAGTAAAAATTGAAAGAAAGAGTGAAACAGCAATAAAGATTGACTGTTAGCGGAAGAAAAGAGAGAAAGAGAATCCAGGAAAACAAATAAGTGAGAGAATAAAATATATAAAGTAAAAATTTTAAAAATTAAAAGATAAAATAATACAAAACAAATGGAAATATACTAATCAAATATCCTAGCCCTTGAAAAACTGATCGATGAAAAATAACTGGCTTAAGAAATGCCAGGAATGTGAACAACAAAACAAATGTGAGTATGTATAAATGCCCATGAACCATTAAGGTCACAGTCAAATAGTGAAAAGAAAAAAGGAAAACAAATAATCTTGATGAAAAGTTAAAGAATTGTTTCAATTGGAGTTCAAGAGTCTCAGCTTCCATTCTCAGAAGTATTAGGTGGGGTCATCTGGAGTATGATGTTGCTCATCTCTCAGGGTGGGGTTGCTAGGGTGAAAGATGTAATCTCTAGGCAAACCTATAGGCAAAGGTATCAGGCTCTTTGCTGAGTGTCAGTTGGTCTGGAGATTTTAAATCCACACTCCTCCATTGCTCAGCAATTGCTGGTCCACATTAGAAGACTGCTCCCCAATTATCTTCCCTGGGTTCCATTTATGTGGAAGAGCCAATTCTTAGTCTAGTGTCACATAGATCACCATTTCCTGATCTTGGTTTCAGTCTCCAAACTCAATCTCTCCCACCCCCATCCTTTTGAATTCCTAGCCAGGAGCATCTCTCCTAGCTTGATGTCCTACAAGTAGCTCTTTTGGAAAAGTAAGGAGAGAACCTGCTGGGTTTCTGTGCTCAGTTTTCCCCTGTGTAAACTTCTTTCCACATTTGATTTTTTCTTGGTCATTTAGGCACACTCTTGATATCATGCAGTGTGGGTTTGCCAGACCTGTATTTCAGGCTAGACTTGGGTTTGCCAGGAATTGGCTCCTTTAGCTGCTGGCCCTCACGCTGGCTGCAAAATGGTTCCTCCCTCTGTCCTCTGCATGCGGCTTGGAAAGGTGGGACTTCCTTCCTGCCCTAGGAATTGTGCAGTGTGTCTGTGTTCAATCTGGCAGTGTCTTTGATCTCTAAACTGTACCCAGACAAGCATCTGGCCTCCTGTTTTGTTCATGGAAGGACCATTCTGGCTGGTGACTCTGGCTTTAGCAGAAGCTGTGGCACCGGGGATTTCTTCTTTATTTTATTATATCCAACCTTATGAGTCCCTGATCTGCTTTGAATGTCCAGTATTAATTCCAGGAAAGTCCCCCACTTTCTCTTCCTTTTTTTCTTTTTCTTTTTTTTTGTGGCGGAGTACCAGGGATTGAACTCAGGGCACTCAACCACTGAGCCACATCCCCAAGCCCTATTTTGCATTTTATCTAGAGATAGGGTCTCAATGAATTGCTTAGTGCCTCACTTTTGCTGAGGCTGGCTTTGAACTTGTGATCCTCCTGCCTCAGCCTCCCAAGATGCTGGGATTACAAGTGTGTACCACTGTGCCCAGCCTCCTTTCTTTTTTGTTTACCCACCTTGCTAAGAAGCTGCCCATCTGCTTTCTTTGTTTCACACCACAGAGCAGTCAGGAAAGTGACCTTCTCTGATCTATCATGTTGAAAACTCCCCTCTTCATATAATTTCTTAACAAATCCTTAATTTTTTTCTCAAATGAATATTAGAGAATCTATCTGCTTGTACTTTTATTCCAAATCTAAATTTCTTTTTTAATGGGTTTGAAAAAAAATTTTTGATAATGATATTCTACTTATAGTATACATGTTTTCTTTAAGTAAATGGTTTACCCATCTCTCCCTTTTTTTGGTAGTCATTTACAGTGTCCTTTTAAGCTATAAAAATTTAAAACAAAAAAGCTAAGTACAAAAGGATAATAAAGATTTAAGTGTTGTTTATAGTGTTTGGCTTTGTTTTTAAACAATAGGTAAACAATAGGTAAAATTCAGTTTTTGTTGCAAGAACACTCAACACAGATTTCTTTGTTAAGTGACTTTTCTTAGCAGTGGCTTAAAGCCTAGATCAAATATTTTTCTGATGTGGATTTTAAAATTTCTGCAGAAAGACAGATGTACACAGTTTTCTAAGCATTTAATCATTTAATGTTAACATATTTACTTAAACTATTCTTTTGGTGTATATGTTTACTTAATGGGTGTTTTAGAATAGTTGTATATAATTACAAGTAGTCATAGCATTTTCATTATTGTTAATGATTTTGAAACTACACTCTTGAAGCACAGTGAGTTTTTTTCTTATAGTAAGACTCGTGATTGTGATTCATACATAGCCTTTGGGAAATGATACCTTAACCTTAACAGAGTTCAGAATTGAGATTATTATAGTGGTACCTTAGTTATAGAGTTTAGAGTTGAGGTAATTATTGAAGATAAATGAGGTTTTAAAAAACAATTGGTATACTACTTAGAAATAATTCATAATTATTTAAAATTATTAATTTTCATTTTTGTAGATGACTCTTAGGTAATTTAGCAGTTGAAACAATGATAAAGTTGGTATTTTTCGCTCTAATTTTTTTCTCATTTAAGTTAGAGGACATTTGTGTATTTGTTATGAGAAGATCCTTAATTTTCACTTGTAATACATGTGCAAAATTGGCTTAGAAAAAAGGGCTGGATAGAACTTAATATTTTTGAGAAATAAAGTTTTCATTTAGTAAAAACAGTCCATTTATCATGTGAAAGTAGAGAATATTGAACGAAATTATCTGCCTTTAAAACACTCACCTTTACAGTCTTCCTAAGAATTCACTTACTTTTAGCTTCCAGGTTGAAAATTGATTGCTGGAATTAGAATGTTGAATGTTTTGGGAATCTTATAAATAATAATAATTAAAAAAATTGAAAACAATGTATTTGGCTTTTTAATTAAAGTAGTAAAAAGAATTCAGATATACAGAATGCCTTACAGATTTTGTTGTTGAAGAGAGTTTATGATTGAGTTTATTATTTTTAATAATTTTATTTTTCTGAAATGTTTTTGTATAACTCAAAATCTGTACTCCTTTAATTACAACTTTTCAAAAATTTCTTTAGAACATATTAAAAATCTTCAGACTGAGCAAGCATCTTTGCAGTCAGAATATACACAGTTTGAAAGTGAGAATCAGAAGCTTCAGCAGAAACTTAAAGTAATGACTGAACTATATCAAGAACATGAAATGAAACTCCACAGGTAATAAAAATTATTTGATAACTCCATTGAATGAGAAGTATAATAGCTTTAAAAGTATTATGTAATATATTTAAGATCTATAATCATTGAAATTTCTCAGTTTATGACTGGATTATATTTCATAAGTTCGTTTTAAAGAAAATTATTTGATCTTGAAGCATTTTTTCTTCAAGGAAGAAAATATAAATGATGTTGGAACTTCCAAGCTAGTTCACAAAGTCCTCTTGTAACTTACAGTAAATAGTCAACGCATTATTGCCTTAAAATTTCTAATACTGGCAGGCCAGGCCAGGGAATCTGATTGAATACTTTTGATTGCCTCTCTGATATATGCAAGGGCTGGGGATATAGCTCAGTTGGAAGAGTGCTCGCCTTGCATTCACAAGGATCGGGGTTCAGTCCCCAGCACCACACACATAATAAAAGAATGACCATTTCCTCTGATATATGTAAAATATACCTTTCTCTTATATAAATTGTTCCTGTCCAAGTGTTCCTTTTTTTTTTTTTTTTTTTAAAGTAAATGGCAGCAGTGTCATTTGCCTAGTGGCTTAGGGGAGTGCTTTCTAAGCAATAGGTATTTAGTGTGTAGAATATAAAACATTTACTTGTGCTCTGTAGTATTTCTAGAAGTTCATAAAGGAGAAGAAGATACCCACAGAGGATTCCATATGTGTTTTCCTATAGGATTCAATACATATTACTTTCTTTTTTTTTGGTGCATGGATCGAGCCCAGGGGTATCTTACCATTGAGCTACATCCTAGCCTTTTTTAATTTTTTATTTTGAGACAGGGTCTCACTAAGTTGCTTAGGACCTTGCTAAATTGCTGACACTGGCCTTGAACTTGTGATCCTCCTGCCTCAGTCTCCTGAGTTGCTGGGATTTGAGGCATGTACCACTGTACCTGGCTCAATAAATATTTCTTGAAAGACTGATGTTATTAATGATAGTATATAAAACAATATGGATAATGTATTATAAAGAGTTACTGCTTGGGAGCTTTGAGCCCCATTAAAGTGACATGCCATATAATGACATGTTGTGGTTGAACTATATGTATGGTAAGTGGTCTCATAAGATTTTTTAAAAAAAATTTTTTTTTAGTTGTTGATGGACCTTTATTTTATTCATTTATTTATATGTGGTGCTGAGAATTGAACCCAGTGCCTCACACATGTGAGACAAGTGCTCTACCACTGAGCTACAATCCTAGCTTCTCATAAGATTTTTGTCACTTTTGATATCTTAGAGTTCCTAGTTTATACAAGTATATTCTGATGTAAACATAGTGATAAATTGCCTAATGAGGCATTTCTCAGGATGTATCCCTACTGTTAAGTAAGACATGATTGTATTTAGTTTTTCTGTGCTTCATTTTCATTTTTGTAAAATAGAAATAACGATAATACCCTTCTTGTAGAGCTGAAGGGTAGTAATTAACAAAGGCCTAAGAAGTTTCTAGTTCATACTAATGGCTTAATAAGTTATCTATTATATCAGTATTAACAAACTAAGAGTACTAAGTAGAACTAGTATTACTACTAATATTATTTTATTATCATTACTATTATCAACTTGGTCTAGAAACCTACTATGTAATTTAACCACCATATTAGGAAGTTACTAAAACACAGTTTATTAGTTGGTGCCTCTTTATCTAACAAATGTGTATATATTATTCATGAAGGCAGAATAACTGACACGTAGTCACAATGGTTAAAAAAGTTTTTAATATTTATCTTGGGTAATTTACGTTTATAATAAATTAATGTAGAAACTCCTGAGACTATTGTTAGTACTACAGTATAAGACACAATACAGTTTTCAGTTTATATGATTTAATTTCACCCAAGAAATATTTATACTGTAATGGTATTATGGAAATTGCTTTATGGGAAGCACTAGTTTTGATATAATAAAAGATATGTAATTGTAATTGATTATTATATGACATGTATTAATAGAAATAAAACATTTTGTTTTAAGGAAATTAACAGTAGAGGAAAATTACCGGTTAGAGAAAGAGGAGAAGCTTTCCAAAGTGGATGAAAAGATCAGCCGTGCAGCTGAAGAACTGGAGACCTATAGGTATTAAAATACTCTTTGAGGTGGGGAGGGTATCTTAAAATTCAGTATTAGAAAAAAATACTAAAGCAACCAAAAATAAATGATAAAATTTTACCTTATTACTTTTTATTCAGATTTATTGCTATTATTCATTTATACAAAAAATGTAAAAGGAAGGAAAAATGTTTTCTTTTCAGGGTGTGTGATTTTAAAATCTCATATTTGAATATGGGCAAATCCTGTTTTCTGTTATTTGAAGAAATTTATGGATAGACATTAGTTTTAAGATCTTCTTTGGTTCAAGTGGGGAACAATATATACAATATTAATGAATTCAGCAAGCATGCTCAAAAAGAAACAAACACAATTAGTGTATTGTAAGTGTGTGTAAGACTAAACGTCTAGTTGTTAACTTGGTTCAGTCCTCATTGATCCAAGGAATTAATAGAAAACATAGAGGAAAAAAGAGGGAAGGTATATCAACTATCCCAAATAGTTGTGATATTTCATTGTCCCCTAAGAAGAGTAGGCTTGGGTTTTACCCAAAGAAGGAATTTCCTTATTAGTCTTATAAAGCTACAAGTAGCATTCTACTGTGCAAAGGCGGTTAATTTCCTAGAGTTTTATTAAGATTACAGACATCTGAATCAATCTCCCAGGATCATGGTTCTTGAAAATAAAACAACCAATAAACTGTATAAATCTTTGCATGACTTTTGCTTTGGATAAACACAAAGAGTAGTACCCTTAAAGCTTAATTAAGGTTAAAATTATATCAGGAAAAAATATACTTTAGAATCTCTTAAAGGTGATTACTTCTTTATGTGGAGTTCTAGAAGTATTTTACACAAAATAGAGCAGTCTGGGTGTTTTAATATTTTTTAGTAGAGAGTTTGTGCTCTCATTTCTTCTATTATTAATAGTGTAGTAAAATAATTATTTGTTTCTTGTAGAAAGCGAGCCAAAGATCTTGAGGAAGAATTGGAGAGAACCATTCATTCTTATCAGGGGCAGGTATGTATGTATGTATGTAATAATGTGTGCCTATATGTGTCTCTGTGCATGTGTTTGTGTTTATATAATTAAAACCATTCTGATTTGTTTGAATTGATACAGAAATATAATTACTTGGCCAGTTGCATACCTCCCTTGAGGTATTGTGTATAGCTGTGGAACATTTCCAGGGAGCTAAAGATTCTAAGATAGAAAATCTTATTTAAAGTTTTCTGCTTCTTTGGGAATGTTGCATAAATAAGCATCTATCAGCTTTGGGCTCTCGAATTCAGACAGATTAGTTGTCTGTTAACTGGAAACTCTTATAGTTAATTATTACATAAAGAGATATTTGCTATTTGGTTTTCATTTTAAAAGTATGATAGATTATACAAAATCATGCTATGTCCATGTACAAATATTCTACAATGAATCCTGTGTATACATACATATATATCATATATGTATATAACGATAATGCACTAATTAATAATAATAATAATGATAACCATAGAAGGAAGATCAGTGGAATAGAGCAATTAGATGGGGGAGAGAGAAGGGGAGGAAAATGGAAGGTACTGGGGAAGGAGATTGAGCAAATTATGTTATGTGCATGTATAAGTATGGCATAATGAAGTCCACTGTTATGTATAATCATAATACACCAATACAAATAAATTTTAAAAAGTATGCTAGATTAGGTCATGTTTACATAAAAATTTGTTTTAAAAATGTTGCTTGCTTACTTTTCTGAGATGCTGAGGTATTTTGAGTTGTGCACTAAATCATAGTGGAAGATCTGAATGGTTTTTATTTAAGAAAAAAGTTGTCAATATTTTAATGACTTTCTTTTTCAGATTATTTCCCATGAGAAAAAAGCACATGATAATTGGGTAAGTTTTAAATTTCCCTAAGGCTTTTTTGTCAAATTCCTTTCAGATGATATACTACTCATTTAAATTAAGTGAAAATATAGTATTTAAAAAAATCATTTTCTATGAATTTCACCATTTGTAAAATTATATTAAAAGTTCAGACCATATGGAGAGGTACAAGGAAGTAATCATTAATATTGCTTTCATTTATCTATTCTTTTAATGCATTTAAACATAAAAGCATGAATTAAAAAAAGAAAGAAGAAATTAAGAAATCCTATTATATCTTACTATTTATAAATTGCTTTCTTTTTTTTATTTTTTAATTTTTATTTTCTTTTTCTTTTTTTTTATTGGTTCAAAACATTACAAAGCTCTTGACATATCATATATAAATTGCTTTCTTAATGTCATTGATATATTTCTATGAATGTTTCATAATTTATAAAACTTTTCTCATTTGATGAACCTTTAGTTTTTTTCTACTTTTTATGATTATCATTTCAGATATTACTTTCTTCACTAAGCATTTCTTTGCTTCATCCTGTTCGATTTAATTTGTTTTTCCTTTGATTTCAGGTAGTTCTTTGTTTTTGTATGTCCTGTGTCAGGTATCTTGTTATTATTTGCTGTAGTCATTTATATTTGTTTATACCATAAGAGTTAAACTCCATAAGTCAGGGATTGTTTCTTTTTCTAAGATAGCTGTACCTAAAAGTATAAGTATTCAGTATTTGAATATAGCGTTTTAGATCAATGTCTGATCATTCATGAAACACTTTTACCTAATCTTTGAAGCTATAAGCTTTTCAAAAGTCTGTAATCATTTTGCCATCTTCTCCCCACCCCCATCCCACCTCCACTACTGGCCTTTGAGCCCAAGAGCACTCTACCATTGCTCTACATTCTCAGCCATTTTTATTTTTTATTTTAAGAAAGTGTCTCATTAAGTTGCCCAGGTCAACCTCAAACTTTCTATCCTTCTGCCTTAGTCTCCAAGTTATTTGGATTATAAGCATGTGCCACCATGCCGGGCTCTTAATATATTAGTTCTTAAGTACAATATACAAAAACTTTTAGGAAATAAGCTATCAACATAAAGATATATTATGAAAAATAGGTAATTTAGCAAGACCCTGTCTCTAAAATAAATAAATAAAGTTGAGGATGTGGCTTAGTGATAGAGTGTACCTCTGGGTTTAATTCCCAGTATTGCCAAAAAAAAATATTTTTTTAATGGTATGTCATATTGTCTTCAAAACATTTATAAGTAATTTTGGTTCTTTGTTGTTAAGAGTTAACTTAATTGGTATACTTTCACTAAAATTGCCATTGGTGTAATATTGTTAGTACAAATTTGGTTATATAATTACTTAAGAAAATTACATGTGGAATCTTTTTTGATAGTGATAAAAAATATTTAGGCTATGCTTTTTAAAAAATTTACAGAATTTATTCTTTGGCCAGTTAAAGTGAGTTCTAATGTGTAGTTCACAATTTTAAGTGAAAGAAAATTTGACAGCATTGTTCCCTTTACCTATAAATAATTATTGTTATAGACTGTTAATTTCTCTATCTTTGTATGATCAGTCCAGCCGTCAGTTCAGTGTTCCGAAATTGTTTAATCTAATTTTCAGAGTCCTCTTGTTTTTTTTCCCCTTTCCCCTCACTTCCTCTTATATGTAATTTTGTATAACAATGAGGGTCTCCTTCCTTTACCATGCAATTTCCCTTCTCTCTCCCTTTCCCTCCCCCCCCATCCCTGTTTAATGGTGATCTTCTTCTCATGCTCTTCCTCCCTGCTCTGTTCTTAGTTGCTCTCCTTATATCAAAGATGACATTTGGCATTTGTTTTTTAGGGATTGGCTAGATGGGGTAGAGAGAGAAGATGGGAGGGGAGGGGAGAGGAGGGGAGGGGGGATAGTAGACGATAGGAAAGGCAGCAGAATACAACATACACTAGTATAGCAGTATGTAAAAAAGTGGATGTGTAACCGATGTGAATCTGCAATATGTATACGGGGTAAAAATGGGAGTTCATAATCTGCTTGAATCAAATGTATGAAATATGATATGTCAAGAGCTTTGTAATGTTTTGAACAACTAATAATAAAAAAAATAAAAAATAAAAAAGATGTGAGGAAAAAAAAATAGTGTTACCCTAGATTAGGTAGAGAGAAGTGATGGGAGGGGAGGGGAGGAGAGGGGAGGAGATGGGGAGATAGGAAGGGTAGTAGAATGAAACAGATATTATTATTACTGTGTGTATATATGTGACTGCATGACGAATGTGATTCTACAACCTGTATACTCAGAAAAATGAGAAATTATATCCCATCTGATTCAAATGTATGATTTGTCAAGGTCATTGTACTGTCATGTGTAACTAATTAAAACAAATAAAAAATAATAATTTTAAGAGTCCACAGAATGATGGGGAAACATGCAGTATACTATACATGTTTAGCCTTTGTCCACATCTATTTGAGAACACTGCATGTTCTTGATATTTATCATAAACTTTTTTATTTATATATTTGATTTTTAACCTCTTAGTAAGTTAAAAATCATTAAACAAATGTAAAAGACTTAGAAAAATGCCATCTGTACAATGCTTAACAGAGGTGCAATGTGCATTGATTATATTCAGCCACTTAAAAAAAAGACCTGAACTGTCATGCTGTGAAACTATTATAGATCTTTGTAGTTCACTGAATCACAGTAATTTTTTTTCCTCAGAGATGCTTGTCTTATTCAATACAGAATGCTGCCATGCCTAGTGACCCTGTGTCTCCATTGCCTTTGCCCTAAGCTTTTGTGTTTTTATGATTCTTACCCTGTAATTTGGATATTTGCATCACCAAATAATGCTAATCCATGATTTCACATAAAGGTAGTTACACTTATTAGCAAGTACACAATTAAACTCCAGCCTTAGGCTCATGTCTTCTGCTTACATGAAACACATTCCCTTTTTAAATAATTCCCTAAATTTAAAATGTTTTACCTTGAGTTTATTGAAATGGATACTTGTTTAAGAGATTGAGATATTTCTATGCCATTATTGTGATACTTATGCTATTCTTTCATGAAGTTTGTATTAATGTATTTTTAATATGTATTAAATTAACTTCTTTAAGTTGGCAGCTCGGGCAGCTGAAAGAAACCTTAATGATTTAAGGAAAGAAAATGCTCACAACAGACAAAAGTAAGTATTTTGGTGGGAACACTTTAAAAACTTAAAATTAGTTATTACTTTTGTTGTTAGTTATTTTATTAATTAATACTTTTTTAAGGAAAAATAAGAAAACTTGCAATGGATTCAGCATATCCTGTTATGGAATATCTATTAGTTTTATTAGGTGTAACTAGTTTTTGTTTGCTTGTTTGTTTGTTATTGTTGAAATGCTTGTTTTAGTAAGGTCATTGAAGCAGCATTTGGGGAAAACTGTTTATAGATTCTAAGTGTAACTTAAAATTTTTTTTTGGTAAACCAGAATATGTGGAGTGAGGTAAAAAGGGAAGAAAAGAAAAAGGTGAATCTCTGACATTGTAATGTTGATAGTATCAGCATTTCTTTATGGTTAAGTAGAGAGAATAAGTGTTTGTTGTCTCCTGGTTTCATTGTATTAGGTGACATTGTTGTATAATAATAAAATGAAGGGGAGAATAAAAGTATGTAGCAGAGGAAGAGTAAATGCTTTCCTCTGAGGCTGGTATCAGTCTTCTCAGAGTGTTCTAATTTCTTGCCAGACTATATTATTGACATTGTTGAATATTAGTTTCAGTCTTCTTACTTGTATTTTCGACTCTCAGAAATTAAAGCCAAAGAATTAAATATTTTATTTCAGGTCTGATGGTTAAAAACTAGAAATAAAATTTCTTTAAAATATTAGATTTTTAAGATAAAAAGTTGAAGGATAAAAGAGTTAGAAGGGTTAATGGGATTTCTAGTTTTATGTTATATTGAAATCATGAGTTACATTACCATGGAAAGCATACATAAAGAAGAGCCAGTAATGCTGGGTTTTAATCCTGCATTTTCTTAATTTAAACTCAAATCATTTAAACTCCTACCCTCAGTTATATTAGTTAAAATGATAAACTTATTGACCTTAGGGGTTTTCCATTTGAAAAATTTGGATTCTGTATACACTACTCATTGAAGTTTAGTTTTGAGGAAAAAAATGGAACAATTCCAAACATTAACAAAGCATCACTATCCTTAGGCAACAAGAAACTGGTTACCCGAAAATAAGTATTGAGAGAGAGAGAAAGGTGTTTTGGTCAGAATAATTTTTGAGGACCTATTCAGCTATACAGATATGGAGATAGTAAGAGTAGCTTTATTTGTTAGTGGAATTTTTTTGAAATGTGGGTGCTTCTCTTGGCCATCTTAACTTAGAGATGTTTGTTCTTTATTTACAGATTAACTGAAACAGAGTTTAAGTTTGAACTTTTAGAAAAAGATCCTTATGCACTTGATGTTCCAAATACAACATTTGGCAGAGGTAGTCCTTTTTTTTTAACCCCTCATTTAAAATACATAATATATATAGATTACATATATATTGCATATATAGTTTGTAATAGCATAAATTACTACTATTATTTATAGATATTTTAGATTTTAGAGCCAGATTCTATTCTATGTTCTCTTATGAACTCCATACTTCTGGGTTTTGTTTTGCTAGTAGTAATGAAAATTATTTCTATGTCCCTTTCTTAGTAGAATTTTGTAAAATAACATATTTTTAGTACTGTGAATTCTTTGAAAAGCCAAGAGCTTGGTATTAATAAGGTACTCACTAACTATTTTTTGGGCGAATGAATGAATTACAAGTACTTCAGTAGAATAACATAGTGACTGTTTACATGTTAACTGTACTTAGAAATTTTCTTGAATTATAAAAATGAGAATAAAAATGTTTGTTTTTTAATTATTTAAAAGTATTAAATTAAAAAGTGGGGAAAACTTAATCTTAGTTTTGATTAATTTAATTATCCCCAATTCTTTGTAAGATATATTTACTATTTCTGTTCATTCATTCATCATTGAATTAGCATCCTCAATGATAACAAACTATTTCAAATCGTTTAAATTTTTCAAAATAATTTTAGTTTAATTAAGCTCCTGTTACAGTGAAAATAAACCAATCTTTATAGATAGAATCTCATTTTAATAATCTTTGGGAAATTATAAAAAATCACTTTTGAGAATCATCTTTAATTAAAGTGAAAGTCTATTTCTACATTTTAAAAATATCAGACTATTACAAATTTAAAGTAGTAACAGTTGTGGGGGAACTTTATAGAAGGAATTTTTGTCTAAATCCAGTGTAGAAGTCTCAGGGAGGGTAAATAATGCTTTTTTTTTTTGTTGTTGTTGTTGTTGTGACTGGTTTGAATATTATAATAGCTACACCTTATAGAATTTACCCTGCTTTTAAAAAAATGTTATTTTGGTGATATTTGTTTCTTTTTTGATGTTGATTTTTGACCTCTGGAAGCATAACCATTACTTGAAAGTGGTTATTTATAAAATGTTAGTGCTCTTGGTTACATGGATTGTAGAGAAAGTGACCTATTTGATGAATACTGTATATAACCTGATTTTTTACTGGTCAGAATCAGAAATAATTTCTGATGCTTCAGAGTGTTTTATATGTTTTCTACATTTCAGAATCTGAGCTTTATTCAACATTTTATGACCCAACATAGCCTATGTGGCCCTAATTTAAAGTGAATGCTACCGTGTTGTAACCCTCACCTGCAGCTGAAATATCTGGAAACATATTGCAATAATACCAAAACAAAACTGCTTTGCACAGTGTTGGTATTGTACCCAATGAGGTTTATCCAAGCATGATTATTGCTAAATGAAAAATTAAACCAAACCAAAAAACTTAATGTCTCCCAAATCCTCCTATAATTCCAAAATATCACCAGTATCCTTTGCTTAAACTGTATGATTATTTAAGTGAATTAATCACTTATAGGATGATATTTTTATTGACTGAAATGTCTGTAAAAATATGAGAATTCAGGGCTGGGAATGTAGTTTAGTGGTAGATCTCCTATTTAGCACACATAAGGCCCCGGGTTTCATCCCAGCACTGCAAAAACAAAACAAAATAAAACCAACAGACTTCATATTTAATTCGGTCCTAAAACCAACAGTCCTTCATATTTAATTTTAGCAAAACCAAAGACAATGGATTAAACTTAAGTTGGCAATAAGAAGACCTGATGGTAATGGTTGATATGGCAATCTATCTTTATAGTGTAGCTAACTGAAGCTATGAATTTAAATATGTTGTTTTAATTATTCCAGAGCATTCCCCATATGGTGCCTCACCATTGGGTCGACCTTCATCTGAAACGAGAGCTTTTCTCTCTCCTCCAACTTTGTTGGAGGGTCCACTCAGACTCTCACCTTTGCTTCCAGGGGGAGAAGGAAGAGGTATCTTGTTTAAACATTTTTATTACTCTATATTTCTTCCTTCCTTTATTTTTTCATCTCAACTTACTTTTAAAATGATCTGTGAAATACACACTTGGAAAATACGAGCATTCCTTGCACTTACTGAGGGTTGCTTTTTTGGGGGGAAAGATCTCTACAACATCTAATTTTTAATATATTTTCTTTAGAAATAAGGTTGCAGAGGTTGTAAAATCCAAAGTGCTCTGAAATCCAGAACTTTTTAGGCATGGTGCTCAAAAATTTTTGGATTTTGGAGTATTTCTGCTTTTAGATTTTTAAGTGCGCAATCAATAAAGTGCCTGGAGGTACTCTAAATTTTAAAAAACTTCAAAACCAGAAACATTTTGGTCTTGACTATTTTCAATAAAGGATACTTAATCTGTACGAGATTACATTTTGATCAATGACATGATGTACACCTTTTTGCAATCATATTTTAACTGTATGTTATACTACATAATATAAAACTTTTTAAAGATTGCATAAAATACAATTACAGAATAACCTAGCATAAAATTATATTTTGGTGAAACATTATTGAATGTAGGATTTTTAAGTTTTTTTTTACTTTATTACCATTATCTTTTTATTGTAGAAAACCAGGAATTGGAAGAACCCTTTTTTTTCCCCTCAAAGTGAAGAATTCAGTCGTGCTTTTTTAGGCAGAGTTTTGAAGGAAACCTTATATAGACCTAAATTATTTGTTGAGACCAACCCAGGTGGTCTACTTTGTTGCCCCCCACCCCCCACCCCTTACTTGTTCTTGAGAATTTCTGTGGCTACCTCAAGCCTAAGTGTAACAATTGGTATTTCTGCATTTACATCATCAGTGTCACCCTAGTGTTTCAAAGGCCCTACTGCCTTTGAAAACTTCTATGCCTGGAGATTCCTTTTTTGCTCTCTCACCATATTTTCTCCACTTTGTCAAGTTGCTTTAAAGTTTTTCCTTGATTTTTGCCCAAATTCAAAAATATTGAGCCTTATTTATTTTAAAATTGAAAGTCTTAGGTGTTTAGTCCTACATCTTTATTTTATGAGAGCTGATGGCATTTTTCACTAGTGAAATGTTCCCACCTTTTCTCTGAGTGATTTTAACAGTCTGAATCTGAGGTAGGAACATGATATAATGAGACTACATTTAAAAACACCAGACTAAATCCTCTGTATCAAAGTTCATAAATTCAAATTGATATTACTCATCTAAACAGTCTCAGGAACGCTGTATACTTCCCTGTTGAAGCTGCCATTATTCTAAACATTTTTGGAACTCTTTCTTAGGAATTGCTTTCAAAGAATATGAAGAAAATCACTTTCTCCTTTTTGATTGTGAGATAGTCTCTCTTTGGCATTCGTACTTATATCTTCTCTTTGCTCCACTTAGAGCTGCTCCTTTCTACCTCCCAGACCCTTGCAGATTGGGTTCACGGTTTCGGTTCACCTTGGAAAGAGCCTTTGTTTGTGTTGAGCTGGAAATTCCTAGGGAAAAGGAAGTATACAAAGAACCCCAGGGGGCTCTGCATTGAGCACTCCAAGAAGGGATATAATTTTGAAACTCATAGGTCTGCTATAGCAGATAATAAGCTTGGGGCTTATTATCCTAAGTCAGTGTTCCCTTACCCCATTTTTTTAAAAAAAATTGACTTATATTAAGAAATACATTTTCTTATCATGTCATACCACACACAAACATAAATATAATTGAAACCAGTTATATGAAATTATACTTACCATTATAGTTTTGATGATTTGTGATATTTTCTATTCAGTTTCATTCTATGAATGCTGGTTAACTTCACACACCACAAATAGGTAGCAGCTAGAAGTCTGAAAAACATTACCCTAGAAATAGGGTATAATTGGTTAAATTGAAAATGTGAATTACTGGAAGTTGAAATTATATAAGTCAAGGATTGCTTGTAGTCAGTTTCATATATGAAATGAGAATAAAATTTACCTTTAATTTTTTTTCCTCTTCTGTTTTTACTTTCTTCTCCTATTTAATTGCTTTCAAGATACAATGTGTTTGCATTGTTTGCAAAGGTGTTTTATTACTTTATGTTTAAAAAGCTACAGAAGTTCTTGGTAAGTTATCAGCAGGTCTTAAAAGAATGCTTTGGACTGAAAGTTTCTGAGTCACCAAGGAAGGAAAGAGAGCATCCTCCCTTTTATTATATTTTCACATTTGAAAGTTTGGATGAGATGTATGTTTAAATAAGATTGAATATAGGAAAATAATTTCTTTTTGTAGTAAATTGTATATAGCTTTTGGTTTTAATAATAATAAAAGAAAAACTTTTAACTTCTGACATTTTCAGATTTGTAATTTTTACCTAGTGATCAGTTGTGGTCTGATAGTAAGCAATAAGGAGAAAGTCTTTGAATTTCTTTTTATTTCCCCATAATATTCTTTATTAGTGCATTGTAATTACACATAGTAATGGAATTCGTTGTTGAATATCTCTTTTAAATTTTTGTCCTTTGATCTAGATGATGAACTCAGGATATCTGACTCTTGAAAACATTTTCGGCTTTTCTAGACTTCTAATGAACTAATTAGAAGAATGAACAAAATAGGAGGACAGATTTGGGGAATTTAATAGAACCATAAGAAAAATGATATTTGCCCTCCTGACAAAGTCTGTTGATCTGAGCCTATAAAAGAGAATAGATGGAAGTTTTTTTTAAAAAAAGATCATTATTTGTTAAGAAATGATTTTTCTACTGATTTCTTTTACAAGTTACTAAGAAGAGGTCAAATTAATTTTGACCTCTCAAGGAAGTCACTGAAATGGGAGAAGTATTTTAGTTAGATTTCTATTGAAAACAGACTTTTAAAAGCTGTTTCTTGAACATAATAAGCTTTTATGTTCTGGAAAATATATTTGCTCCCTCAATGACAGATAAACAAGATATTAATTTTTTTATTGGATGTCTTTTTCTTCTTAATTGAGTGTGGGATTTTAATTAAGGTCCTGTTCTTCCCGTGACCATGGAACGGGAACTCTAAAATTATTCCTCCCTTTTTAGAAGTATCAATGTGCTGAATTTTCTTATCTAAGTGAATATTATCTTGTTTATTAAAGAATTTATTCCATAAATGCTGTAATTTGATTTAGAATTTCCGTCAGAGATTGTGAGTTCTCTTTTTTGTGACTGGGAATTTGATATTTAGAAATTACTTAAAAGCCATTTATGGCTGTATTTATCTGGTGGTTGTAAAGGTTGTAATCAGGCTCATTAAAATTGTTTTTAGGCAAAAGTAGAAAGTCATGCTACTACAAATTGAGATTCCATTTTTTGCATGGCTCTTAAGTTAATCTGAGTACTGTACATTTCCAAATGAGTTGTTCCAAAAAATACTTGAGTAGTGGCAAAATTATTGAAATAAGTATATTGCCACTAAGATGACTAAAAAGAATCTTGCTCATTTTCACTATTAAGATTTCTTATTTATAATCATCTTATTACGTCTAGTATAGAAATTTATTTTCTATGTCCTTATTTGAAACTCAGTATTTGTGATTTAAAAACTGATTTTTAAGGATAAAACAATGATGATGATTACAATTAAAAATGAATTTTATAGGCAAATGTTTGTTTATCCATAAGGCAAAGATTTATTTTTATCTTGTCTTAGAAATGAGGATAGGATAGAATTATAGTTTAAATGCATCATGGGGCTGGGGAGGTGGCTCAAATGGTAGCGCGCTCGCCTGGCATGCGTGCGTCCCGGGTTCGATCCTTAGCACCACATACCAAAAAACTAAGATGTTGTGTCTGCCAAAAACTAAAAAATAAATATTAAATAAATAAATAAATCTTATCGGAAACTTAATTAGAATCTATATTCACCTTTTAGAGTATCTTAATTTTATTTGTTGATAAGTCTTATGCCATTTTTAAGATAAAACAGATTTGTATGCTTTTTTCCTTTAATTAGGCTCAAGAGGCCCAAAGAATCCTCTGGATCATCAGATTAGCAATGAAAGGGGAGAATCAAGCCATGATAGGTTAACTGATCCTCATAGAGCACCTTCTGACACTGGGTCCTTGTCACCTCCATGGGAACAGGATCGTAGGATGATGATCCCTCCACCAGGTATGTAAAAACAAAGGTTATTATTATGTTTGAAAGGCAGCTAGTATGTGGTGGAGCCAGTAGGAATAAAGAGAGGACTGTGTGTTTTCTGTTTTAGGAAAAACCATGATATGTTTTAGGAAAAAAAAAATTTCTAAACAGAATAGTAGGAGATTATTGTTTACGTTACAGAAAGCTGCTTTGCCCCCCAAATGGAAGGTCTTTATTGTTTTTGTTGCTTATAAAAATGCAATGCATTCTAGCCACACATAGTGACACATTCCTGTAATCTCAGCAACTCAAGAGGCTGAGGAAGGAGGATTGCAAGTTTGTGGCCAGCCTCAACAACTTAGTGAGACCCTACTTCAAAATTTAAAAAGGGGCTAGGGATATGGCTTAGTGGTTAAGTGCCCCTGGGTTTAATCCCTGATACCAAGAAAAGTAATGCATTATTTTAGAAAATCTAAACAATGCAGAGATGTATAATTAGAAAAGTGAAAAATTCTCCTTATCTCATCATGTTCTCAGTATTTAGTTATATATCTTTTAGATTTAAAAAAAATAATATGTTTATAAACATAGGTATTCAAATTCTTCTGTCACTTCTGTGCAGTTATGCCATTCACCTTATTTTGTAAGTGCCTGTTTTCAGTCAGTACCATGTAGAAAATATACAAACACATGAATAGACATAAACATACATGTAGACAAATAGTTCTACAGCTCAAATGTGGTGGTAATTTCACCAATTTACATGTGACTAATGGCATAAAATATATACATGCATAGTACCAAGGTTAGTTTCCTCTTATATTGCCCTATATTTATGAAGGATACAAAAATTGGAAGAAACTGGATAAAGGATATCCAGAACATGTTATTGCAGCTTTCTCTGAATCTGTATTTTAAAATTAAAAAGAAAAAAAAAACACCTTATTGGATATAATATGCCATAGGAAAGCCAAGTATTCTTAGGCATATGACTTGATTACTTTTTATAAGTGGAGTGCCTAGGTAACTAACTAGTACTCACATCACTTTTCAGTTTATTTTTTGTATAATGAATTTAATTTGAAATGTTATTTACAGTTTTAGCAGAAAAATATTTTTAGTAAATAATATGAATAAGTCAGTATTATTCACATAACATCTAGTACTCAATTAAAATTTTAACACTTATGACTGGAAATAACCAGTCCATTATAAATACTAAACTAGAATAAAAATTTACTAGGGTGACTTGATCAGTGCTTCAGTCCATAAGAAAAACATGTATTTTCATATTTAGAGAGAGTATTATATAAGATTAAAGTGGACTGGTGAGAAAATAGTTTAAATTGTTTATATGTTTTCTTTGCTAAGGTTAACTTCATGAGAATGATTTTCAGGTGGATCCTGTAATCCCAGCTGCTCAGGATGCTGAGGCAGGAGAATTGCAGGTTGAAAGCCAGCCTCAGCAACTTAAGAAGGCTCTGTCTTTAAATAAAATATTTAAAAAGGGCTGGGAATGTGGCTCAGTGGTCAAGCACCCCTGGGTTCCATCCCCAGTACCAAACAAAAGAATGATTTTCATAAAAATTTTCAGTTTGGCTGGGTGCAATGGTTCATGCTTGTATTCTCAGCTGCTTGGGAGCCTGAGGCAGGAGGATCATGAGTTTAAAGCCAGCCTCAGCAACAGCAAGGTACTAAGCAACTCTGTAAGACCTGTATCCAAATAAAAGAGGACTGGGGCTGTGGCTCAGTGGTTGAGTGCCCTTGCGTTTAATCCCTGGTAACCGCCCCCACCACCAACACCAAAATTTCAATTTGTATGTGTTGGCTCATTTGTCTTTGATTTTTAAAATAAAATTGAGGTACTGTCATTTATTAAGTAGGTAATGTCACTATCTTCTAGATGACTATTTTCTAACTACAGCTCTGGTTGTTAGAAGTTAGTTTGAAAATTATTGTTTTATATAGAAAGATACAATGGGGTTGGGATAGTGGCACATGCCTGTAATCCTGGCTACTTGGAAAGGTAAGTCAGGAAGATCATAAGTTCAAGGCCATTTCTGGGCAACTTAGTGAAACCTGTCCCAAAATAAAAAGTAAAAAGAGTTGGGAGTATAGCTCAGTGGTAGAGTGTTTACCTAGAATACAAAAAACCCTGGATTGAATCACCAGTAAAACATACACACACACACACACACACACACACACACACAGCACACAATGAGTTATTAGCTTTCCCATGTGGAAGGATTTAAATATTAACTGTGTTTTAAGTCCTAAATAAAGTGTCAGGATCTATGTGTTATAGTTTTATTTTTATAAGAATTCCCAGTGGAGCTGGGGTTGTGGCTCAGCGGTAGAGCACTCGCCTAGCACGTGTGAGGCGTTGGGTTGAATCCTTAGTAACATGTAAAAAATGAATAAAATGAAGGTATTGTGTCCAATTACAATTTATATGTATATGTATATGAATTTAATATGAATTATATATATTATGTTATCCTAGATAACATAAATAAATGAATTCCCACTGAACATTTTTATGTCAAGATATTGGGTTAGAGAGTAAAAGAAAAATATTTTTAAAAATAAGATATGGTTATGTAAGTGAATAATGAGTTAGTACAATAAAATGAATATAATATTAATATACTTATTTTTCTATAAAAGCTCTCTATTAGAACTTTTGACAGTGATAGAAAGTTTTCTTTTGTGTGTGTGTGTTGCTGGAGAACCCAGGGCCTGGTACATGCTTGGCTAGTGCTTTACCACCAAACTACATTTCCAGCCAGATGGAAGGTTATCTGTGTCATCCAGTACAGTAGTCACTAGACACTTATGGCTAGTGAGCACTTAAAATGTTCCTAGTGCAACCTGCACTAATTAATGTTAATTAATGAAAATTAAAATTTAAAAACCACATGTGTTAAATGACTAGTAGCTACTTTATTGGCTAGCACAGCTCTAAAATGAATACTTTTGTGTATGAACCTTTTTTAAAAAAATTTTTTTTTTAGTTGTGGATGGACACGATACCTTTATTTATTTACTTATTTTATGTGGTGCTGAGGATTGAACCCAGTGCCTTGCATGCTTTTAAGGAGGAGATTTTGATATTCTTTGCTGCATATTATCTTGTTTTATAGTATAATATGACTAATTTAGAGATTCTTTTCAATCTTATTCATAAAGTAAAATAATACATTACTTAATAGTCATATAAGGAAATATAAAAATACAAGTCAGTAAATTATTTATAAAGTGGACATATTTTTGTAACCAGCACCCAAAATGAAAAAACAATACATTATGAGTTCTATAGAAGTCATCTTTTGTCAATTAACTACTTCCTTCCAAATATTACCCTGCCCAAAAATAACCATTATTTTCACTTCTAACACTGTAATTAGCTTGGGTCTGTTTTTTGAACATATCAATGGAATTGTATGGTATATTTTCTTTTCTGTCTAACTTCTTTGATATGAGATTATCTTTTTGAGACTCATTCATATTATTGCATATTCTTCTAATTTGTTTATTTTCCTTGGTGTATAATATTTTCTAAGTGAATTGTACCAATTTATTTATTATTTGATTGGCATTTTCCATGCATGGTGGAGCACACCTATAATCCCAGCAGCTCAGGAGACTCAGGCAAGAGGATCGAAAGTTCATAGCCACCCTCATCAATTTGATGAAGCCTTAAGCAACTTAAGTGAGAACCCTGTCTCTAAATAAAAATAAAGGATTGGGGATGTGGCTCAGAGAGATTAAGCACCCTTGGGTTCAATCCCTGGCACCAAAAAAAAAAAAAAAAAAGGACAATTAGGTTATTTCCAGTTTAGGATTATTATGAATGAAACATTCTCATGTGTGTATTTTGGTGCATGCATTTATTTCAGTGTAGATCTAGGATAACATTTGCTGGATCACAGGATAATGCTTATTGGTTAACCTTTAGGACATTATACAAGATAGTATTCCTAAGGACTGGTGTATCATCAGCTTATACTCCTGCCAACAGTGACTTTTGAATTTTAGCTTCTCTTGAGTAGTAATAGTATTATGATTTAAATTTGCATTTCCCAATTAGATTGCATTCCTTTTTAATAAATTTATTGGACATGGAGTTTTTTGTTGTTGTTGTTATGTACTTTTTTTTTTTTTTGAGGTACTGGAGATTGAACCCAGGACCTCACACATGGTAGGCAAGCGCTCTAATGACAAATTACACATCCATTGCTGTTTTGTACCTTTTTGAGTTGCATACACATTTGACTTTTCTGTTTTTTCTATTTTCTGGAAATGAACTCTTTTCATTCCCAGTTTTTATATATGACAGATGTCTTGGACAACCCTGGTTTGCTTTTTTACTTTCTTATTGGTTTTTTGATGAATAGAGTATTGGTATTAATATGGTTCAGTTTACTGATCACTTCTCAATATGGTTACTTTCCTTAAGAAATTTTTCCTGATGGGTATGGTAATCTCAGCTACTTGGGAGGCTGAGGCAGAAGAATTGCAGTTTTGAAGCCAGCGTTGGCAATTTAGTGAGATCCTGTTTCACTCCAACATAAAAAGGGCTGGGGTGTAGCTCAGTGGTAAAGCGCTTCTGGGTTCAATTCCCAGTAACATAAAGGAAAAAAAAAAAGAAAGAAATCTTTCTTTACTTTCCAGGTTATGAAGATAATATCCTGTGGTATGTAACAAATATTTGTAGATCTCTAATCTACCTGGAATAAATTTTGTGTGAACAGTATCTAAAAGGAATCAAAATTCATTTTTTTTTTTTGTACTGGGGATTGAACCTAGGATCACTTAAACTACTGAGCCACATTCCCAGCCCTTTTAACTTTTTTAAATTTTGAGACAGGGTCTTGTTAAGTTGCTGAAGCTGCCTTTGAACTTGTGATCCTCCTGCTTCAGCCTCCTGAGTTGCTGAGATTATAGGTGTGTGCCACCATTTTTGGTTCAAACTTCATTTTGCTTCATATGAATGTCAAATTGATTAACATTGTTAATTAAAAAAC